AATCATTATTTTCAATTACATTTTCATAAACTTCCTGAGGCATGAATTCTTTTTATGATTGACATTTGTCGAATTCATGTTAGATTTCATCGATTTTTGCTCATCATCTTATTCTACATAGAATGCTTGTAACGTTTATGTTAAATCAAATAATTATCCTCGCGTTTATTATTTATATTCGCATTTATTTCGTATCGTATCGTCAAATTATCATCTTTATTGGTGGAAATATACTGCAATTTCGATGACAAAATGACGAGGAGAAGAACGGAACACACAAATGAAAACATTTTTCCACTCATTATTTCACGTAAGAGTATACTTTAGAATAATTAAATATAATCAAATTAGTGTTTATAATTTCTCATAAAAGTTTTAAATTTGCAAGAATTAAAAAATGTCATATTAAATTTATGCATACCTTTGCTTTTGTATTAATTGCAATAAAATGTATCAAGTACAAAATATAATAAAATTAAATTATCTCATTTTGTTTCTCAACAAATCTCGACAAATCGATCTGATTTTAGACTATTATTATTATTATTATTGATGATTACAAGTATTGAGAATTTTAATTATCTTAATAAATAAAGTCAGTATTATTAATATATCACAGTATCCAGCTTTCACATTTTTCTGATAGAAGAGTGCACAAGATACATGTGCCTGCACGGGAGATGAGACTAGAAGATGAAACTAGGAGATGAGACGAGGACGACGAGACATCGATAGCTTTGCGAAAAACTGTCCGTCTACTATACTATATGGGACTATACACTATACAGAACTTTGACATACTATATGCAAAGAAAACTTCTGTAGTGCTATTTTTGTTTTACGTTTGTTTTTATTTTTTGAAATCTCCCATTTGTGGATTGAGCGGATAGTGCTTTGCGCGCAAAACTTGCCCGTAAGTTGAGGCGTAGGGTACAGATACAGGTGTCTTTATTGTTAAGTCGATTATTTCAAAATGGTTTGTCGTATGAAAAAAATCAAAGAGTCAAAATACTTATTTTTTTATTTTTGTCATAAACTGTAATGTATTTCAAATTTATTGCATCACCACACAAGTTTTGTCAATTGAAAAGTAACCCCAGCCTCTAAAACCTCCTTCGAAATTTTGTTAAAAAATTTTGACAATAAAATGAATAAAACGCATAAAGAAATGTATGTACCAATTTTCATAAAATTCTAAGTCTAAGTTTAGACAATATACGAAAAATTCGAGTTTTTTGGAGAAACTTTGGGAAGGTGTATAGCTCAGAGGGGGTGCGTTTCCGGACATATGTTTATAGAACAATTTTACCTTATTTTGACTTGTAGAATATACCTATTTTTTCTACTATCAATTCTGGGACACCATGTATGTATAATAACAACTTATAGTAATTTCATGCAAATTTTATAGCAGCTTTCTTAAAATTTTACAAATATTGAAAATTGAAAATAATATATATCAGCCCACAATTAACAATTTTAAAAATATTTATGTCAAGGAATGTAACATAATCTCATTTAAATTTGAAAAAGAAACGAGACAAAATAATAGACAAATGCTTTTGCTACGAAATCTGAAAATATGTGTGAATTATAATTATTAATCTTAAACATAAAAATCAACACGAAAAGAACATGATTTTAATTTTGAAATGAAAATTAAAGTTCGGTGCTATCAGTGTGACTTCTTGCTCGTCCAGAGGAACTCATCTTTTCCTGCATGACTATTTCCTCTGTCGTGGTAATAATGCTCGACGATGTTACATACGATTCGAATCGAGCTTTTGGCAACAAAGGCGAATCGCTTGAATAAAATGCACTTGATCTTTTTTCTCCACACAAATATGATAAAGGTGCATAGATTCTGTATAATGTTTAGCAACTCAATAACATGCGAATTGTAAATTGATACATTTCCAGATAATGAATCCGCTGTTATCATAAGACATCTTATGCCTATTACGATAAACGTCACAATAAATATCTTCAGATATAGATTAAACCTGCAAACAAATATATATTCATAGTTCTTGATAATAAATATTGCATGAAATTGATTTAATTATAAGCTAAGTAAGAAATTTTAAGAGAATTTAAAATTTTTATTTTTGTAAAATACAGGTACATTCATTATTTGATTTTAGTTATTAAATGTTATTTTGTTTAGAATTGAATAGGTTCTCGAAGAAACGCGTTAAGTGATATATTCTTGAAAATATTACAAAATTAAAAAAGTATATCGGCGAATAGAAAAGACGTCGTCTGCGAATAATAATCTATGATCGGTATTTATAATCTGAATTTATATTTAATATTGTTTTAAATCTGATCTTGATTTAAAAATCCATTTACCCAATCAAGCTCGAACTTAATATTAAATATAAGCTCGGACTATTAATTATTAATACCGGCCGAAATGTATATTATTTTCAATTTTTAATATTTGTAAAACTTTAGAAAACTGCTACAAAATTTGCATGATATTACTATAAGTTGTTATTATACACATATCAAATAACAATATGTTCATTTATTAATATTATGAATTGTAATAAAATGCACAATATTAGTATAATTTTTATAACTTAACTAAATATTTTATCATAAGATTATTGTAACAATGATACTTAAATAATTAAAATCTTAGAATTTTTATGATCACAATGATTCGGTGTAGTTTATTATTTTCTCTAATATAATTTACATTTTAGTAATTATTAGATTCAATTATTGATTTTGAGAAATCAATGAAATTTCTTCGAAAGATTTTTTTTCGGCAAAAGTTGGATGTGATAAATTAAATAGCATCAAGGCCATCGAATCTACTGCTATTTTTAATTCTTAATTAAATAAATGACCATAATATAACTCTGAAATTTATGCAAAGCACGTCGAATATAAACCGGTTTTGAAGTAGATTTGGTTTTGACTTTATATGTGCAGGCATTATACCTAATATGATGATGTATAAGAGTTGGCGAATAACGATAAACTGATATATTCCATATGATTTTCTTTTTTAATAATTTTTGTAGTCTAAAGATAACAAATGAGATTAATAAATTTGTGAAATAAATAAAATTTTTCATACGATGCGTTATCGATTAATTATTCCAAAGAAATTTTTATATACAAATATTTAAATAAATAAAATAAGTATAATTTAATATAAAGAATGTTGGCAAATTTCGCCCATGTTTGGGATATCGAATTTTAAATGTTTTTTCATGGCAAATAGTACTATTAGATGAAACATTAATCTCAGTAAAAGTTCAAGATGAACATGGACACGGTTCCGAAGATACAAGGGGGTAAAGGTAATGAGTTTTAATCAGAGATAAGAAAACATCACTGTCATTTCTTCATATCTCCGTGCCTTGCACGAGATGCTTATCTCGAAATTTCTGAGATTTGCCTCATCATATATTACTACTTGACATAACAAAAAGTTTGAAATTTGAGGCTCCAAAATTTTTATATAGAAATATTTAACTGAGTAAAATAATTACAATTTAATACACATTTAAAAAATAATTAATAACTACAAAATTTTTATTATTTGACTCTTCCTGCGTATCAATTTATTTCTTATTTGCGATATTCTTAGAAATATAAAGACTATTTATTTAAGCATTATTAAAATGTAAAAAACAGTCAAGAGTATTTTATTATCTTGCTGCTTTGGTCAAGCTATCAACAGTAAAAGTTTTAATAATTTTTTTTATTTCTTTGTATATAGTATATAGTATGTTAAAGCTATAATATGTGTATAGTATATTCTATATGTGTATAGTATCCTATAATAAAAAAACGCAGTTTCTCGCAATCTCGACGACTCGTCGTCCTCGGTAGTCTCGTTTCCTCTGCACTGGCAGATGTATCTTGTGTATTTCTCTATTAGAAAGAAGCCGGATACAGTGATATAATACTAACTTTATCTAGTGAGATAATTAAAATTCAATACGTACAATCATTAATATTAATAATAATCGTGCTAAAATCTAATCGACCTTTCGAGATTTTGCTGAGAAATAGAATAAGATCATTTAATTTTATTATATTTTTCACTTGACACATTTTATTGCAATTAATACAAAAGCAAAGGTATATGTAGAAATATGACATTTTTTAATTATTGAAAATGTAATACTTGTATGAGTAATTGTGAACACTAAATTTGATTATCAAATTATTCGAAAGTATATTCTTACATAAAGTAATGAGTGGAAAAATGTTTGCATTTGTGTGTTCCGTCCTTCTCCTCGTCATTTCGTTATCAAAATCGCAGCAAATTCCACCAACAGAGATGATAATTTGACGATACAATACGAGATAAATACGGATTCTACAACAAATTATAACGACGAAATAATAACCCTGCGACATGATTTGCATAAAAATTTGATGAACAATACACAAAATGACGAAATGCAGCATGAATTTCATATGAATACTAAACGCGAGGATAATGATTTGATTGAACTTAAACTGAACAAGCATTCAATGCAGAATAACGATGATGAGCAAAAATCGATGAAATCGAACACAAATTTGACATATGCCAATCATAAAAGAATTTCACGGCTGAGGAAGTTTATGAAACTGTAATTGAAAAGAATGATTCCATGTCACTTGAAGTCTTCAAAAATTCCAGCAAAGATGCTAATGAAACTATCATCGTCCCAAACGAAATGTGTCATAATGATACTTGCATTCGGTTCTGCTGTTCTCTTGGCGATCGTCTGGTTGTAAGCAACTGCACTCATGAAGAAATTGAATACATTTTTCCGAAAGTATACATGAACGATTCGACGCAAAGTGAAAAGAATCTGAACGAATTGTTTCAACTGGCTATTTATGATTCGTGCAAGGGAAGTCATTCTCTGTCCCCCAGAGGTTTTCAGTACGATTATAAGATTTTTACCAACGGTTCTATATATTTATCTTATGATGAAATATTTGTTGAATCGACATCATATTGTCTCGCCGTCATCAACGGGAGTGAGTTCGAAGTAACCATCTGTTCCAAAACTTATGACAAGATCATGAAGATAACAACTAATGAGATCATGAATACTATTACAAACAAAGATATTATGGAAATAAGTGTCGATATAGCATCTATATTACTTTTGGGATCAGCATTTCTGGTGTATTCCATATTGCCAGAACTTCGAAATAGACACGGCTTCATGTTGCGCAACTACAACGGTGCCCTGACTGTAGCATACGGAATTCGCTTTGTGCATTTTCTGATCAAATCGGATATACAGTATTCCGTCTGCGTTACAATAGGTAGAGTATATATCTAAATAATGAAACTATGCAATCAATATATTTATATTTGTCAGATATTTCATGTATATTTGCATATTAAATTTTAATTAATAATTTTAATAATTATTTGAATATATTATTTGTTAAAATCTATTAAAAGAGAGCAAAACAGTGAATGGCATTTAAATTTTATTTAAATGCATTTTAATATATTATTAATATGAGTTATTTGTCTCAAATAGATATATTTCTTTGGGTTTTTGAATTTTGTAGAATTACATATTGAATCAAACATGTTTAATTTAATATTAGCAGTTTTATTACATAAATATTACTATAAAATTTAGTGTAAGAAGTTAAAGTAAATCTATTTTAATGGAGAAACATATAACATGTGATAACAATAAAATCCTGCAATTTTAACGAGTAATGATAAATAATATATTACTATTTATTAATAATAATATTTATTATATATATATTTTATTATAATAGTTCATTATAATATTTTATATAATATCTTATTATTTTTTTATAATATAGAAATGTATAAGAAGCAAGAAATAGACCAAAAGATCAACGCGAAGTTATTAGATCGCATATATAAAGTTGTTTACTAAATAAAGCTGTATTTGCGATCAAATTATACTTTGCGTAGCTGTTTCAACCTCTTTCCTGCTCATTATTTATTTCTCAATTTTAAGAGCAAATTACATATTACATGTATATTTATATTAATAATATTATATATTATTATTTATTATTTATTATTACAGCTTTTAATTATATTCATTTTTACAGCCTTTTTATTATACTTTAACTATATGGCAAGTTTCTTTTGGTTAAATATAATAGCTTTGATATGTGGTGCACATTCAGGTAAGTTGGAAAATATTCTATATTATTACTACTTATTTTTAACACTTGCCTTTCATTTATCTTTATAAAATTCTTTCTTTTTGATTTTACATATATCAGTTTAAAGATAAAAATGGAGAATATGCAAAATTCTGTATTAATCGAATTTTTTTATATATTGTGTTGGTACGTGCAAAAACAATTATATATTTGAAAATAATATATAATAATAGAACAATTATATTTAGAACATTATAAGTTAGAGTATAAAGATAATAAATTCAAATTATAATTTGAAATATTATAAATAGTTTTCTTGGATATTTTCATTAATTGATTACAGACTTTTAAACGGTTAATTTTTTAAAAGTAAAAATAGCGTATTAGATATAATAAGCATATTATATATTTAATTTAAATAGATATCAAATATTATAACGAAATCTAATAATTTGATATATTGCAATAATATTTTGATATTTAACTTTTTTCTCTTTTAATTTATATTAATTTATGAAATAAAGCAATACACGATATGTTTTCACAAAATACAAGTAGATTTTTTTATTCAAAATTTGTCTTTTAAAAATAAATAAAAATTTTAACTACCATTGTCGTGTCTGTATAATAGTTATGTAAATAAACACTTTTAAATAATTAAGGTATAAAAAAAGGTAATAAGAGACAATTGTCCAAGAATAGGCAAACTTTAAATAGATATAACTTTGTTTTGAATAATGAGAATTTAAACTTTAAAAAAGTTTTAAAACGTGAAATCTCTACTTTCAGTGGTTTACATTTTTTTCATTTTCTTAAATTCTGACATTTTTTATATACAAAAGACGAAAAACATAACAAAATGGAAATTTTTTTTTCACTTTGTAGACGTGTCGCATGCACATAAAAATTTGAAAAATTTCTTGACATTTCCATGTTACAGTCTGAAGTTTTATGTGCAAAATTGTTTTTCAAAACGTAAATCCTGATCTTTTTTTATCAAAAGTTATCGCAAATTACAGAGAAAATGTCATTTTCACTATAATCGTTCATAACACCGTTAAAAAACATCGTACAGCAATTTTAAGAATGGATTCTTCAAGCTGAAACTTTGCTTTATAGTATGATATAGTGACTTGATCAAAGACATATTATTTTAACGTTTTCACATTCTGATTTCTTTTATCTATTGTTTGTTAAATATGTTGTGTAAATTGCAGAGGATTCAGTTCGTTACAAAGAAACGTCAAACAACAAGAAAAAAGAAAGTTGATATATTATACGATCTTTGCGTGGGGATGTCCCTTGATGCTTGCTATCTTATCTGTCAGCATGGATATTCTTTCTAAGTACAACCATGTACCACCAGTTTTGCGACCGGAATTTTATTTAGGACAGTGCTGGTTTTTTGGTAAGTGAAGATAATGCTATAGCATTTTAGTATTGTGAGAAAGAGTATAAAAACTCATAATGTTTTATACTTACAGGGAATGGTCCGTATTTGTTGTATTATTATGTGCTCAGTAGTATGTGCGTCATCAATAGTGTTTGTTTATCTATTTATACGGCAATAAAAATTGAGCGTTTCAAAAAGGAATCGGGTCCTTGTCTGAAAGATTCGGAGAATAAATGCTTTAACGATAATAAAAAATGGTACGTAATGAGATCTCAGATATCGTTGTATTGAAATATGATAATCTATTTTATTAATAAAATTAATATAGTCCGATCGTGTATTTAATTTTAAGTTCGAGCTTTATTGGTTGAATGGAATTTTAAGTCAAGATCAGATTTAAAACGATATTAAATATAAATTCAGATTATGAATACTGGTCATAGATTGTCATTTGCAGATGATATCTTTTCTATTCGTTGATTTATTTTTATATTAAGTAATATTTTCGAGAATATATCATTTTACGTGTTCTTTCAAAAATCTATACAATTCTAAATAACATGACAATTAATAACGAAAATCAAATTAAAGAATGCACTTTTATTTTACAAAAATACAAATTTTAAACACTTTCAAAAATTTCTTAAGGTTTATACATCAATTAAATTTTATTCATCATATATATTCATAAAAACTATGAAAATTATATATTTGTTTGCAGGTTTAATCTATATCTGCAGCTATTTATCATGCTATTTATCTTAATGGGCATAGAATGGCTAATGATAACAGCGTCTTTAGCTGAAAGTTTATCAATTTTCTACATTCTATGGTATGGTACTAATTTCTTGGCTATTATGCAGAGTCTATGCGTCTTTATCATATTTGTGTGTAAAAAACGGATCAAGCGTATGTTATTCAAGCGATTCGGCATCGGTTTGTCGCCAAATGCTTGACACGGATCGAATGCAACATTTTCGAGCATTATTTCCACGTCAAAAGAAATAGTCATACAGGAGAAGATGAGTTCTTCCGAACGAGCAAGTCACACTGATTTAACCGACCTTTAATTTTTATTTGAAAATGGAAATCATGTTTTTTTATGTTGTTCTTTATAGTTAAGATTAATAATTTTAATTCACACATATTTTTGAATTTTGTAGCAAAAGCATATTAACTTGTATCGTTTCTTTTTCAAATTTAAATGAAATTATGTTACATTCTTTGACATAAATATTTATAATATTGTTAATTGTAGGCTGATAATTTTTTAATATTTGGAATATTAGTAGAAATTCAGAAAGCTGCTACAAAATTTGCATGAAATTACTATAAGTTGTTATTATACATATGTCAAATAAATATATGTTTATTTATTAATATTATAAATTGTAATAAAAATGCATAATATTAGTATAATTTTTATAACTTAATTAAATATTTTATCTTAAGATTATTGTAACATTAATACTTAAATAATTAAAATTTGATTAAATAATTAAAAACTGATATAAATTTATCTTTTAATAATTTTTTGTAGTCTAAAGATAACAAATGGGATAAATAAACTTGTAAAATAAATAAAATTTTTCGTACAAATGCGTTATCGATTAATTATTCGTAAGAAATTTTTATATATAAATATTTAAATAAATATAATAATTATAATTCAATATAAAAAGTAAGATCGCAAATTTCGCCCATTTTTGTGATCTCGAATTTTAAATTTTTTTATGGCAAATAGTACTATTAGATGGAACACTAATCTCAGTAAAATTTCATGATAAGTATAGGCACGGTTCTGAAGATACAAGGGAATGGAAGTGATGATTTTTAGTCAGGAATGAGAAACTATCACTTATACTTCTTCATATGTTATGTACATTTCTTGACATCTATTGAAATATTTATAATATTGTTAATTGTAGCGGTTGATATTATTTTTAATTTTCAATATTTGTAAAACTTTAGAAAGCTGCTACAAAATTTGCATGATATTACTATAAGTTGTTATTATACACATATCAAATAAAAATATGTCCATTTATTGATATTATGAATTGTAATCAAAATTCACAATATTAGTATAATTTCTATAACTTAACTAAATATTTTATCATAAGATTATTGTAACAATGATACTTAAATAATTAAAATCTTAGAATTTTTATGATCACAATGATTCGGTGTAGCTTATTATTTTCTCTAATATAATTTACATTTTAGTAATTATTAGATTCATTTATTGATTTTGAGAAATCAATGAAATTTCTTCGACAGATTTTTTTTTCGGCAAAAGTTGGGTGTGATAAATTAAATAGCATCAAGGCCATCGAATCTACTGCTATTTTTAATTCTTAATTAAATAAATGACCATAATATAACTCTGAAATTTATGCAAAGCACGTCGAATATAAACCGGTTTTGAAGTAGATTTGGTTTTGACTTTATATGTGCAGGCATTATACCTAATATGATGATGTATAAGAGTTGGCGAATAACGATAAACTGATATATTCCATATGATTTTCTTTTTTAATAATTTTTTTGTAGTCTAAAGATAACAAATGAGATTAATAAATTTGTGAAATAAATAAAATTTTTCATACGATGCGTTATCGATTAATTATTCCAAAGAAATTTTTATATACAAATATTTAAATAAATAAAATAAGTATAATTTAATATAAAGAAAGTTGGCAAATTTCGCCCATGTTTGGGATGTCGATTTTAAATGTTTTTTCATGGCAAATAGTACTATTAGATGAAACATTAATCTCAGTAAAAGTTCAAGATGAACATGGACACGGTTCCGAAGATACAAGGGGGTAAAGGTAATGAGTTTTAATCAGAGATAAGAAAACATCACTGTCATTTCTTCATATCTCCGTGCCTTGCACGAGATGCTTATCTCGAAATTTCTGAGATTTGCCTCATCATATATTACTACTTGACATAACAAAAAGTTTGAAATTTGAGGCCCCAAAATTTTTATATAGAAATATTTAACTGAGTAAAATAATTACAATTTAATACACATTTAAAAAATAATTAATAACTACAAAATTTTTATTATTTGACTCTTCCTGCGTATCAATTTATTTCTTATTTGCAATATTCTTAGAAATATAAAGACTATTTATTTAAGCGTTATTAAAATGTAAAAAACAGTCAAGAGTATTTTATTATCTTGCTGCTGGATTAGTCAAGCTATCAACAGTAAAAGTTTTAATAATTTTTTTTTATTTCTTTGTATATAGTATATACTTTGTATATAGTATGTCAATGCTATAATATGTGTATAGTATATCCTATATGTGTATAGTCTCTTATATAAAACAAACGCAGTTTCGACGACTCGTCGTCCTCGGTATTCTCGTTTCCTCTGCACTGGCAGATGTATCTTGTGTATTTCTCTATTAGAAAGAAGTCGGATACAGTGATATAATACTAACTTTATCTAGTGAGATAATTAAAATTCAATACGTACAATCATTAATATTAATAATAATCGTGCTAAAATCTAATCGACCTTTCAAGATTTTGCTGAGAAATAGAATAAGATTATTTTATTTTATTATATTTTGCATATGACACATTTTATGGCAATTAATACAAAAGCAAAGGTTAATGTAGAAATATGACATTTTTTAATTATTGAAAATGTAAAACTTGTATGAGTAATTGTGGACACTAAATTTGATTATCAAATTATTCGAAAGTATATTCTTACATGAAGTAATGAGTGGAAAAATGTTTGCATTTGTGTGTTCCGTGCTTCTCCTCGTCATTTCGTTATCAAAATCGCAGCAAAATTCCACCAACGAGGATGATAATTTGACGATACGATACGATATAAATACGGATTCTACAACAAATTATAACGACGAAATAATAACCATGCAACATGATTTGCATAAAAATTTGATGAACAATACACAAAATGACGAAATGCAGCATGAATTTCATATGAATACTAAACGCGAGGATTTGATTGAACTTAAACTGAACAAGCATTCAATGCAGAATAACGATGATGAGCAAAAATCGATGAAATCGAACACAAATTTGACATATGCCAATCATAAAAGGAATTTCACGGCTGAGGAAGTTTATGAAACTGTAATTGAAAAGAATGATTCCATGTCACTTGAAGTCTTCAAAAATTTCAGCAAAGACGCTAATGAAACTATCATCGTCCCAAACGAAATGTGTCAGAATGATACTTGCATTCAACTCTGCTGTTCTCTTGGTGAGCGTCTGGTTAATGGCAACTGCATTCCTGAAGAAATTGAATACGTTTTTCCAAACGTATACACGAACGATTCGACGCAGAGCGAAAAGAAAGTGAACGAATTGTTTCAGCTGTCCATTTATGATTCGTGCCAGGAAGGTAAACTGCTTCCCAGGAATTTACAGTCCAATTATAAGATTTTTACCAATGGTTCTTTATATTTTACTTATCCTGTAATAATAATTGAAAATAACGGTTCTTATCAAATATCTAAATCTGAAATGCTTGTTGAACCGACATCATATTGTCTCGCTGTCGTCGACAGAAGTGAATTCCAAGTTTTCTTCTGTTTCATAACTATTAGCGAAACAAATGACGCAACTAATGATGATACTAATGAGATCATGAATACTATTACAAACAAAGATATTATGGAAATAAGTGTCGATATAGCATCTATATTACTTTTGGGATCAGCATTTCTGGTGTATTCCATATTGCCAGAACTTCGAAATAAACACGGCTTCATGTTGCGCAATTACAATGGTTCCCTGACTGTTGTATACGGAATTCGCTTTGTGCATTTTCTGATCAAATCGGATATACAGTATCCCGTTTGCGTTACAATAGGTAGAGTATATATCTAAATAATGAAACTATGCAATCAATATATTTATATTTGTCAGATATTTCATGTATATTTGCATATTAAATTTTATTTAATAATTTTAATAATTATTTGAATATATTATTTGTTAAAATCTATTAAAAGCAAAACAGCGCGAATGGCATTTAAATTTTATTTAAATGCATTTTAATATATCTTTAATATAAGTTATTTGTCTCAAATAGATAAATCTCTTTGGATTTTTGAATTTTGCAGAATTACATATTGAATCAAACATGTTTAAATTAATAATAGCAGTATTTATTACGTAAATATTACAAATTTATTATAATATTTTATATAATATTTTATTATTTATTCATAATATAGAAATATATAAAAAACAGGAAATAGACCAAAAGAGCAAAGCGATGTAATTAGGTCTTATATATAAAGTTCTTTTATTTAATAAACAAAATTTGTTTACTAAATAAAGCTGTATTTGCGATCAAATTATACTTCGCGTAGCTGTTTTGACTTTTTTCTTGCTCCTTATTTATTTCTCAACTATAAAAGCGAATTACATATTACATTTATATTTATATTAATAATATTATATATTATTATTTATTATTTATTATTACAATCTTTAATTTTATTCATTTTTACAGCCTCTTTAGAATACTTTTGCTATATGGCGAGTTTCTTTTGGTTAAATGTAATGAGCTTTGATATGTGGTGCACATTCAGGTAAGTTGGAAAATATTCTGTTATTACTACTTACTTTTAATACTTGCCTTTTATTTATCTTTATAAAATTCTTTTTTTTTGATTTCACATATATCAGTTTAAAAATAAAAATAGAGAATATACAAATTTTGTATTAATCGAATTTTTTTATATATTGTGTTGGTACGTGCACAAACAATTATATACTTGAAAATAATATTTAATAATAAAACAATTATATTTGGAACATTATAAAGTATAAAAATAATAAATTCAAATTATAATTTGACATAAATAGTGTTTTTGGAGATATTTATTATTTGATTACAAACTTTTAAACGGTTAATTTTTTAAAAGTAAAAATCGAATATTAGATATAATTAAGCATATTAAATATTTAATTTAAATATGTATCAAATATTATAACAAAACCTAATAATTCGATATAATGCAATAATATTTTGATATTTAACTTTTCTATCTTTTAATTTATATTAATTTATAAAATAAAGCAATACACGATGTTTTCACAAAATAAAAATAGATTTCTTATTAAAAATTTGTCTTTTAAAAGTAAATAAAAATTTAAAGTACCATTGTCGTGTCTCTTTAATAGTTATGTAAATAAACACTTTTAAAATAATTAAGGTATAAAAAAAATAATAAAAGACAATTGTCCAAGAATAGGCAAACTTTAAATAGATATAACTTTGTTTTGAATAATGAGAATTTAAACTTTAAAAAAGAGTTTTAAAACGTGTAATCTCTACTTTCAATGGTTTACATTTTTTTTCATTTTCTTAAATTCTGACATTTTTTATATACAAAAGACGAAAAACATAACAAAATGGAAAATTTTTTTTCACTTTTTAGACGTGTCGCATGCACATAAAAAGTTGAAAAATTTCTTGACATTTCCATGTTACAGTCTGAAGTTTTATGTGCAAAATTGTTTTTCAAAACGTAAATCCTGATCTTTTTTTATCAAAAGTTATCGCAAATTACAGAGAAAATGTCATTTTCACTATAATCGTTCATAACACCGTTAAAAAACATCGTACAGCAATTTTAAGAATGGATTCTTCAAGCTGAATTTTTGCTCTATAGTATGGTATAGTGACTTGATCAAAGACACATTATTTTAACGTTTTCACATTCTGATTTTTTTTATCTATTGTTTGTTAAATATGTTGTGTAAATTGCAGAGGATTCAGTTCGTTACAAAAAAACGTCAGACAACGAGAAAAAAGAAAGTTGATATATTATACGATCTTTGCGTGGGGATGTCCCTTTATGCTTGCTATTTTATGTGTCAGCATGGATATTCTTTCTGCGTATGTAAATGTACCACCGATTTTGCGACCGAAATTTTATTTAGGAAATTGCTGGTTTTTTGGTAAATGAAGATAATGCTATAGCATTTTAGTATTGTGAGAAAGAATATAAAAACTCATAATGTTTTATACTTACAGGGAATGGTCCGTATTTGTTGTATTATTATGTGCTCAGTAGTATGTGCGTCATCAATAGCGTTTGTTTATCTATTTATACGGCAATAAAAATTGAGCGTTTCAAAAAAGAATCGGGTCCTTGTCTAAAAGATTCGGAGAATAAATGCTTTAACGATAATAAAAAATGGTATGTACTCAGATATCGTTGTATTGAGATATGATAATCTATTTTATTAATAAAATTAATATAGTCCGATCGTGTATTTAATTTTAAGTTCGAGCTTCATTGGTTGAATGGAATTTTAAGTCAAGATCAAATTTAAAACGACATTAAATATAAATTCAGATTATGAATACTGGTCATAGATTGTCATTTGCAGATGTTATCTTTTCTATTCGCCGATTTACTTTTTTGTTTTGTAATATTTTCGAGAATATATCATTTGACGTGTTCTTTCAAAAATCTATACAATTCTAAATAACATGACAATTAATAACAAAAATCAAATTAAAGAATGCACTTTTATTTTACAAAAATACAAATTTTGAACACTTTCAAAAATTTCTTAAGGTTTATACATCAATTAAATTTTATTCATCATATATATTCATAAAAACTATGAAAATTATATATTTGTTTGCAGGTTTAATCTATATCTGCAGCTATTTATCGTGCTATTTATCTTAATGGGCATAGAATGGCTAATGATAACAGCGTCATTAGCTAAAAATGTATCAATTTACTACCATTTATTTATATGGTATGGTATTAATTTCCTAGCTATTTTGCAGAGTCTATGCGTCTTTATTATATTTGTGTGTAAAAAAAGGATCAAGCGCATGTTATTCAAGCGATTCGGTATCGGTTTGTCGCCAAATGCTTGACACGGATCGAATGCAACATTTTCGATCATTATTACCACGTCAAAAGAAATAGTCATACAGGAGAAGATGAGTTCTTCCGAACGAGCAAGTCACACTGATTTAACCGACCTTTAATTTTTATTTGAAAATGGAAATCATGTTTTTTTATGTTGTTCTTTATAGTTAAGATTAATAATTGTAATTCACACATATTTTTGAATTTTGTAGCAAAAGCATATTAACTTGTATCGTTTCTTTTTCAAATTTAAATGAAATTATGTTACATTCCTTGACATAAATATTTATAATATTGTTAATTGTAGGCTGATAATTTTTTAATATTTGGAATATTAGTAGAAATTCAGAAAGCTGCTACAAAATTTGCATGAAATTACTATAAGTTGTTATTATACATATGTCAAATAAATATATGTTCATTTATTAATATTATAAATTGTAATAAAAATTTATAATATTAGTATAATATTTATAACTTAATTAAATGTTTTATCATGAGATTTTATTGTAACATTAATACTTAAATAATTGAAATATTAAATTTTTTTTGATCTCAATAAATCGGTGTAGCTTACTATTTTTCCTAATATAATTTACGTTTTAGTAATTATTAGTTTTAATTATTAATTTTGAAAAATTCAATGAATTTTTTGTGAAATATTTTATTTCTTCGGTAAAAATTAGGAGTGAAAAATTTAATAGCATCAGCGCCATCGGATCTACCGCTATTTTTAATTCCTAATCAAATAAATGATCATGATATAACTCTTATAGTTATGCATGTCGAATATAAACCGGTTTTGGAATAGGTTTTGTTTTTACTTTATGTGTGCAGGCATTATATTCAATATGATAATGTATAAGAGTTGGCGAATAACGATAAACTGATATATTCAACATAATTTTCTTCTTTAATAATTTTTTTGTTGTTTAAAGACAACAAATGGGATTAATAAATTTGTGAAATAAATGAAATTTTTCTAACGTATGCGTTATCGATAAATTATTCAAAACAAATTTTTATACACTAATATTTAAATGTATAAAATAATTACAATTTAAAATATATTTAACAAATAATTAATAACTTCAAAATTTTTATTATTTGACTTTTGCTGCATTAATTTATTTTTTATTTGCGGTATTCTTAGAAATATGAAGACTTTTCATTTAAGCATTAAATATCTGAAAAACAGTCAAGCGTATTTTTTCTTTTGCTGCTGGATTGGTGCTATCGTCAGTAGAAGTTTCAATAATTTTTTTTATTTTTCTTGTATATAGTATGTCAAAGCTATATGTGTATAGTTCTATATAGTATAGTAGACGGACAGTTTCTCATAAAGCTATCGACGACTCGTCGTCCTCGGTAGTCTCTGCTTCTCTTCCGCGCAGGCATATGTATTATGTGCATTCTTCTCTCAGAAAAAAGCCGGATACAGTGATGTAATAAATACTGACTTTATCTAGTGAGATAATTGAAATTCAAGATGTGCAATCATTAATGTTAATAGTCATATAGTGTTAAAATCAAATCGACATTTCAAGATTTTGCTGAGAAACAAAATGAGATAATTCAATTTTATTATACTTTGTACTTTACATATCACATTGCTATTAATACAAAAGCAAAAGTGTACATAAATTTAATGTGACATTTTCTAATTATTGAGAATTTAAAACTTATATGAGAAATTATGAACACTCAATTTGATTTTTTATATAATTATTCTAAAATATATTATTGTAATGTCAAATAATGAGTGGCGAAATGTTTGCATTTGTGTGTTCCGTGCTTCTTCTCGTCATTTCGTTATCGAAATCGCAGCAAAATTCCACCAACGGAGACGATAATTTGACGATACGATACGAGATAAATACGGATTCTACAACGAATTATAACGACGAAACAATAACACTGCGATATGATTTGTATAAAAATTTGATTAATAATACACAAAGTGACAAATTGCAGCATGAATTTCATATGAATACTAAACGCGAGGATAATGATTTGATTCAACTTAAACTAAACGTGCATTCAATACAGAATAACGGTGATGAGCAAAAATCGATGAAATCTAACACGAACTCGACATATGTCAATTATAAAAGGAATTTCACGCCACAGGAAGTTTATGAAACTGTAAATGAAAAGAATGATTCTATGTCACTTGAAGTCTTCAAAAATTCCAGCAAAAATGCTAATAAAACTAACATCGTCCCAAACGAAATGTGTCATAATGATACTTGCATTCGGCTCTGCTGTCCTCTTGGCGATCGTCTGGTTGATGAGAACTGCATTCCTGAAGAAATGGAATACATTTTTCCAGAAGTATACACGAACGATTTGACGCAGAGCGAAAAGAAAGTGAACGATTTGTTTGATCTGGCCATTTATAATTTGTGTCAGGATGCTTGCTATCTACTTCCTGAAGGTTTTCAGTACGATTATAAGATTTTTGCCAACGGTTCTATATATATAATTTATTATAAAATATTTGTTGAATCGACATCATATTGTCTCGCCGTCGTTGACGGGAATAAGTTCGAAATAACCATCGGTTCCAAAACTTATGACAAAATCAATGTTAATGAGCCCATGATTTATAACATACAAATTATATATCTGAGTTTCCATATAGTATCTATATTACTTTTGGGGTCAGTATTTCTGGTGTATTCCATCTTGCCAGAACTCCGAAATGTACACGGCTTTATGTTGCGCAATTACAGCGGTGCCCTGACTGTTGCATACAGCATTGACATTGTGAATATTATGATCAGAGCGGGTGATATACCGTATTCTGTTTGCGTTACAATAGGTACAATATATATCTAAATCACTTATTTCCTGCTCCTTATATATTTCAACTAAAAGTGCAAATTACATATTACATTTATATTTATATAAATAATATATTATTATTTATTATTACTGTCTGTATTTTATTCATTTTTGCAGCTTTTTTAAACTACTTCTGTTTTTTGGCGGGTTTCTTTTGGCTAATTATGATAAGCTTTGATATGTGGTGCACATTCAGGTAAGTTGGAAAATATTCCATATTATACTACGTATTTTAAACTTGCCTTTCATTTACCTGTATAAAATTGCCTCATTTTTGATTTTACATATATCGGTTTAAAGATAAAGATAGATAATAATATGCAAAATTCTGTATTAATCAAATTTTTTTATATATTGTGTTGGTAGTATTGTGTTGGTATATTGCTTTATAGGGTGATAGAGTGACTCGATCAAAGACACATTATTTTAACGCTTTTACATTCTGATTTCTTTTATCTATTGTTTGTTAAATATTTTGTGTAAATTGCAGAGGATTCTGTTCGTTACAAAAAACGTCAGACAACGAGAAAAAAAGAAAGTTGATTTATTATACAATCTTTGCGTGGGGATGTCCCTTTATGTTTGCTGTTTTCTGTGTCAGCATGGATTTTCTTTCCAAGTATGTACCATCGATTTTGCGACCGGAATTTCATTTAGGAGATTGCTGGTTTCATGGTAAGTGAAGATAACTGTATCAATGCTATAGCGTTTTAATGTATTGTGAAAACCCACACACACAGCACAGAATATTATGAATGTTTTCAAAAAATATTTTTAAATATTTCTTAAAAATATTGCATAAAAACATTTTAAAATGGTTTTAAGATATATTGTAAAATAATTTAAACAATTTTTTGTGATAACATTTTTCATAATATTTTCAAAAACGTTTAAAAATATTATTAAAAATGTTCTTTATCGCTCAGATAATATTTTCTTAAATATTTTATACATATTTTTGAAATATTAGTTTAAATTATATTTAAAAATGTTTTTTAAACATGAAAAAGCGAATATAGAAACATTTTAAAAATATTTTTGAGAATTATATTATTTTTTTAAAAGATTTTAAAAATATTTTATGCTGTATGGGAAACAGTATAAAAATTCATGACATTTTATACTTACAGGGAAAGATGCGTTTATCTTGTATTATTACGGGCTCAAAAGTGTCTGCATTATTAGTAGCGTTTGCTTATCCATCTCTACGGCACTGAAAATTAAACGTTACAAGAAGGATACAGGTGTTCGTCTGACAGATTCGGAAAGCAAACGGTATAATGATAATAAGAAATGGTCTGTATTATTTTTGCATCGATGTGTGATAGCCTTCTATGTAGTTTGTTAATGAATCAATCTAATATGTTCTTTTTGCCAATTTCACTGCCAACAATATTACATTACATATGGATTGATCTGCAATTCTGATAAAAGGAAGGGATAATTATTTTGAAGCAAACATCTTTCCGGTGCTTAGTATTTTCTCGTTTTCTATTTTTTTCCTATTAACGTACATAATCTATAGAAAAGGAAAAATATATCGTTGTAACTTCAATTCTGTTTTTGTTTTCGAGGAGGTCTGCAATTCTCGAAGTGTGGAAAATAATGAGAGAATAAAATTAAAGAATACATTTAATTTCATAAAGAAAATTTTATTTTTCAAAAATTTCTTCAAAACAACTATTTCTTTTTTCTCTTCTCTTTTAGAATTGTAATTTATTTCATTTTGTAAAAAAATAATTTAATAAATAGTTATACATTATAGAAAAACAAGGACTAATTATAAAAACCAGGCGTGGTAATTAATATGCTAATGTAGAGTGATAACTAATTAAAGAATTAATTTAATATTTTCACTCTCCATTAGCGTTAATTACTTTACCACGCCTTATTAATTACCACGCCTCTGAATTAAGAGCCAGGCGTGGTAATTAATACGTCAATGTAGAGTAAAAATAAAAAATTTCTTTATAGCTTTTGTTTCTCTAATTTATATTTATTATTAGAACCTTATATTTATAATATTAATAAATAGCATTTTTAGTAAATAGTAAATTTAATAAATAGTATTATTTTTAAATAAATTTCTTTATGGCTCTTGTTCCTCTAATTTATATTTATTATTAGGGCTTTATATTTATAATGTTAATAAATAGCATTTTTAATAAATCGTAAATTTAATAAATAATTAAACTCTTATTAATAAATAGTATTATTTTTATTGAAAAGATATCCAAATATAAATATATATTTGTTTGCAGGTTCAATTTGTATCTGAAGCTATTTATTATGCTGTTTGTCGTGATGGGTATAAAATGGTCCGTGATGACAGCATCATGGTTGGCTGGAAATATATCAGATTATGTCTCGTTTACTGTTAACGTCGTAGACATCGTGCAGAATCTCTGCACCTTTATTATATTTATATGCAAAAAGAAGATCAAGATGATGTTACTGAAGCGATTTGGATGCGGTTCACACGTTCGACAGACGACTGTAACATCGACCACACCACGTCAGAAGTGGCTATGCAAGACAAGAATTCTTACGCACAGGATAACTGTCACGTTAAAAGTTCACCCAGTGGGACTGAACTCTAAATTTATATGCAAAATATAAACGAATATTCTCTTCACTAATTACTCTTTGTATTTTCTTTATAATTATATATTTGTACAATCAACATTCTAATTTGTCTTTATTCATTAAAACAAGTTTGATTTGATTTTTTTTTGAAGATTGTAAATCAAAGAAAGAAAAAGTTTATGAATAATTATAAAAAAATAAAGAAGAACAAAAAACAAAAAAGAACAAAAATTTTAAAAACAAAAATAAATAATAAATAATTTTTAAGAAAAAAAAACACTTCCACCTGCTGCCAACAAGGTCTTAACATTTAAATAATAGAATAAAAATATAAAAAATAAAGAACAAAAAAAAAAAATAAGAAAAACGAAAATAAAAAAAAAAAAAAATATCAATAATTATATAAGATTATCGTAATTAGAAATATGTGTATAACGATTACACTGTTTTTACTGGGAACATTTCGTACATATACTATACTGTCAAAAATATTGCTTTGACATCTGCTGCGAATATTATTAATAATATAGACAATCGAAAGAAAAGAATGTCTAACGCATATTTATGTGTTATAATATCGATATAATATACCCAAATCAGTGTAATATGTATATTGTGTGTTATAATATATCGGTTATAATATACACAATCAATGTAGAATAAATATAAAATAAATATTTTACTTATTAAAATTATTAGTATGTATCTACTTGCATATAAGCGCGCGCGTTAATTATATTCTAATGATAAAACTTAAATCTTAAATGGATAATTTATTAAAATTTTAAGAACAAAAGGATTAATTGTATTATATTTTAATGTTAAAATCAAGAGAATTGTTATATAGTAAAAAATTTTTGTAAATTTTAATGTATAATCACACACAACATAAATTCGTCTAAATATAGATTAAAACTTGGATTTGAAAAACCGGATATATAAACCAGGTAAACCGGTTTTGGAAGTATTTTGTTTTTAGTTTATATTTAGCAGGACAGAATGCAAGAATTTGGCGACTAACGATAAACCGATGTGTTAACATAATTTCATATTTTCAAAATTTTTGTAATCTAGAAAGAACGACGAAATTGATAAAATATTGTGGAACAAATAAAATTTTTCTTACGCATGTGTAATCGATTAATTACAATTTAAAAGACATTTTTACATACAAAAATATTTAAAATAATTAAAATTTAATATAAATTTCAAAAATAGTATGACTAAAAAATTTGTTATTTGACTGTTGCTAAGATTTAATATATCTTTTCTTTTAGCGAGATTCTTAAAAATATATAATGACTTCATTTAAGCATCAAATGCTCAAAAATAACAGTTAAGGATCAGTTTTACAAATGTCAATTAACTTTAACCTCCGGTTTAAACTGCATTTTTATCTTTTTTATAGTTTTTAAAAGAAACAAAGATATAATTTAACCAAAGTGTAAAGTTCACTGATTTTTGTGAAACTGGCATTACGAGTTTATTTTATTTTGCTGCTGGATTGGTTAATTTACGCCAGTAGAAAATTCCCCAAATGTTTTTCTGTTGTCCTTGTATACATAAATTTGTTTGTATAATTTTATATAATATATGCAATTTTATATAGTAATAGATAGACTGTGTGTATGTGAGTTCCGCCATAAAAACTAGATCTGTTCTTTTCAGCTGAACTGGCTGAACATTGGCCTATTGTTTACATCGAGCACTTGATGCGTATCAAATAGTACATTTGAGCTGATCAGCCAATAATTGAATAAATGTACTAGTTATTTACTATTTGACGCGTATCAAGTGCTCGATGTACACAAGGCCATTAGTTCAGAGATTATCTTTTTTCTTCTAATGTCGAGCAAAAAAGACAATCTGAACTAGTGTAGCCAGTTCAGCTGATAAAAACAGACCTATCATCTTCGACTCGTCGTCCTCGGTAGTTTCATTTTTTCTCTCGTGCAAATACATTTCTTATACATATATTCTTCGCTTTTTTAGAAAAAGAAGTCAAACTTGGATACAGTGATACAGTATATGTTTTAACAAATGCAACGAGATAATTAAAAATTAATCGCGTAATCATCTACGTTAATAGTGTTAGAAAAAATTAGATTAATCTTTCGAAATTTTGTATAAACATAAAAAGAGAAAGATAATTTGATTTTATTATATGTGTATATATGTATATTGCAGTTAACACCTTTTATATAATTAATGTAAAAGCTGAAATATGCATAAAATTAATACAGAATTTTTTAATTATTGAAAATTCGAAATTTATGTGAGAACTGATGAATTTTGATAAGTTTGACTGATTCAATTATTTAATTATTCTAAAGTGGATCCTTATATATAAATAATGTGTCAACAAAATTTCGTGTTTTTGTGTTGCACACTTTTTCTGCTCATCATTTCGTCATCGAAATCTCAGCAAAATTTCAGCAAATTCGACGCAGAGCGAAAAGAGAGTGAACGTATTGTTTGAGCTAGCCATTTATGATTCGTGCCAGGAAGGTCACGTTTTGCATCCCAAAAATATCCACGATTATAAGATTTTCACCAACGGTTCTATATATTTAACTTTTCATAAAATCTTTGTTGAATCGACATCATATTGTCTCGCCGTCGTCGATGGGAATGAGTTCGAGTAACCATTTGTTCTAAAACTTATGACAAGCTTAAGGAGATAATTGATAAAAAGCGAATGGCTCTTCTGACGAAGATTTATAAAAATATTACGGAAATAAGTGTCTGTATAGTATCTGTATTATTTTTGGGATCAGTATTTCTGGTGTATTCCATTATACCAGAACTCCAAAATAAACACGGCTTTATGTTGCGCAATTATAGCGGTGCCTCGTCTGTTGCATACGGAATTGACATTGTGTATTTTTTTATCAAATCGGATATACAGTATCCCATCTGCGTTACAAAAGGTAGAGTATATATCTAAATCATAAAACTATGTAATAATTATAGGGTATATATATATTTGTCAGATATTTAATGTATATATATTAAATATTGCATAGGTATTAAATTTGCATATTAAATTTGCACATTAAATATTAATTAATAATTTTAAATATTACTTGAATATATTATTTGTAAAAATCTTAAAAATGCAACACAGTAAATGACATTTAAATTTTATTTAAATGCATTTTAATATATAATTAATATAAGTTCGTCTCACACAAATAGTTATATTTCTTTGTGTCTGAATTTGTGTGTGTAGAATAACATACCGAATCAAATATTATTTAATTTCTTATTAGCAGTATTTATTAAATATTGCTATAAAATTTAGTGTAGAAAGTTAAAGTAAATCTATTTTAATGGAAAAACATAAATGTAATAATTTTTAGATCCTGCAATTTTAACGCGTAATAACAAATAATAATAATAATATATTATTATTTATTAATAGTGTTTTTTATATATATTATATTATATAATATATTATTATTTATTAATAATATAGAAATAAATAAGGAGCAGGAAATAAGTCAAAAGAGCAACGCAAAATAATTAGGTCAAAAATAAAAAATTCCTTTATTTAATCAAAAAATATTTTTTTATTAAATAAAGGAACTTTGTATTTGCGACCTAATTATACTTTGCGTTGTTCTTTCGGCCTATTTCCAGCTCCTTATTTATTTCTCCACTATTAGAGCATATTACATATTAAAATTATATTTATATTAATAATATATTATTATTTATTATTACAGCTTTTATTTTTATTTATTTTGCAGCCTTTTTGACATACTTTTTTAATATGGCAAGTTTCTTTTGGCTAATTACGATAAGCTTTGATACGTGTATTTGCGACTAAATTATATTTATTATACTTCACGTTGCTCTTTTGGGTTATTACCTGCTCCTTATTTATTTCTCAACTATAAGAGCAAATTATATATTACATTTATATTTACATTAATAATATTGTATATATTATTTATTATTAATTATTACAGCCTTTAATTTTATTTTTTTACAGCCTTTTTAAGATACCTTTGTTTCATGACAAGTTTCTTTTGGCTAAATATAATAAGCTTTGATATGTGGTGCACATTCAGGTAAATTGGAAAATATTCTATATTATTATTACTTATTTTAACCTTTTATTTATGTTTAAAAAATTCTTTTTTTTTGATTTTACATATATTGTTTAAAGATAAAGATAGAGAATATATAATATGCAAAATTCTGGAATAATCGAATTTACTTATATATTGTGTTGGTACGTAGAAAAACAACTATATATAATATTTGAAAATAATATTAATAATAAAACAATTATACTTAGGACATTATAAGTGAGAGTATAAAGATAATAGGTTCAAATTATAATTTGAAATAAATAGTTTTTTTGGAGATTTTTATTAATTAATTACAGATTTTAAACGGTAAATTTTGAAAGTAAAATTAGCGTACTAGATATAATAAGCATTAAATATATTTAATTTAAATATGTATAAAATATAACAAAATCCAATAATTTGATATAAAGCAATAATATTATGATTTTTCTCTTTTCATTTATAAAGTAAAACAATACACGATAACTTTTTACAAAATAGAAATAGATTTTTTATGAAAAATTTGTCTCTCAATAGTAAATAAGTTCTGTATAGTGTATAGTCCCATATAGTATAGTAGACGGACAGTTTTTCGCAAAGCTATCGACGTCTCATCGTCCTCGTCTCATCTCCTAGTCTCATCTCTCGTGCAGGCACATGTATCTTGTGCACTCTTTTATCAGAAAAATGTGAAAGCTAAATACAGTGATATATTAATAATACTGACTTTATCTTTTAGGATAATTAAAATTCTCAATACTTGTAATCATCAATAATAATAATAATAGTGTTAAAATCAGATCGATTTGTCGAGATTTTGTTGAGAAACAAAATGAGACAATTTAATTTTATTATATTTTGTACTTGACACATTTTATTGCAATTAATACAAAAGCAAAGGTATGCATAAATTTAATATGACATTTTTTAATTTTTGCAAATTTAAAACTTTTATAAGAAATTATGAACACTAATTTGATTATATTTAATTATTCTAAAGTATACTCTTACGTGAAATAATGAGTGAAAAAATGTTTTTATTTGTGTGTTCCGTTCTTCTCCTCGTCATTTCGTCATCGAAATTGCAGTATATTTCCACCAATAAAGATGATAATTTGACAATACAATACGAAATAAATGCGAATATAAATAATAAACGCGAGGATAATTATTTGATTTAACATTAACGTTACAAGCATTCTATGCAGAGTAAGATGATGAGCAAAAATCGATGAAATCTAACACAAATTCGACATATGTCAATCATAAAAAAAATTTTATGCCGCAGGAAATTCATGAAAATGTAATTGAAAAGAATGATTTCATGTTATTTGAAGTTTTTAAAAATTCCAGCAAAGATGCTAATGAAATTAAAAAGTATAATTTAACCAAAATGTAAAGTTTACTGATGTTTCCAAAACTAGCTTTACGAGTTTATTCTATTTCGTTGCTGGATTGGTCAATTTATGCCAGTAGAAAATTCCCCAAATGTTTTTCTGCTGTTTTTGTATACGTAAATTTGTTTAATATTTATATAAAATAAGTTTATATAAAATTGGTATAATTTTATATAATATATGCAATTTTATAAAGTAGTAGATGGACTGTGTGTATGTGAGTTCCCCTATAAAACTATCTTCGACTCGTCGTTCTCGGTAGTTTCATTTTTTCTCTCGTGCAAATACATTTCTTATACATATATTCTTCGCTTTTCTTAGAAAAAGAAGTCAAACTTGGATACAATGATACATTATATGTTTTAACGAATGCAACCAGATAATTAAAAATCAATCGCGTAATCATCTACGTTAATAGTGCTAGAAAAAATTAGATTAATTTTTTGAAATTTTATCGAGAAACAAAAAGAGAAAGATAATTTGATTTTGTTATATGTGTATATAATATATTTAACACCTTTTATACAATTAATGTAAAAGTATGCATAAAATTAATACAGAATTTTTTAATTATTGGGAATTCGAAATTTATATGAGAACTGATGAATTTTGATAAGCTTGACTGATTTAATTAGTTAATTATTTTAAAGTGGATCTTTATATATGAATAATGTGTCAACAAAATTTCGGGTTTTTGTGTTGCACACTTTTTCTGCTCATTATTTCGTCATCAAAATCTCAACAAAATTTCACCAACAATGAAGAGAAAGGTGATAATTTGACAGTACGAAACGAGGAAGACACAGATTCTACAACAAATTATAACGACGAAATGATAATACTTCGACGTGATTTGCATAAAAAGTTAATGAATAATACACAAAATGACATAGAATTTTATTCGAACGACAATCACGAGGATAATGATTTGATTCAATATAAACGTTACAAGCATTCAATGCAGAATAAATATGATGGGCAAAAACCGATGAAATCTAACACGAATTCGACAAATGTCAATCATAAAAGGAATTTCACGCCGCAGGAATTTTATGAAAATGTAATTGAAAAGAATGATTCTATGTCACTTGAAGTCTTCAAAAATTCCAGCAAAGATGCTAATGAAACTGTCATTGTCCCAAACGAAATGTGTCATAATGATACTTGCATTCGGCTCTGCTGTTCTCTTGGCGATTGTCTGGTTGATGGCAACTGCATTCCTGTAGAATTTGAATACACTTTTCCAAAGGTATACACGAACGATTTGACGCAGAGCGAAAAGAGAGTGAACGAATCGTTTGACCTGGCTATTTATGATTCGTGCCAGGAAGATTATAATCTGCTTCCTAAACGTTTTCAGTACGATTATAAGATATTTACCAACGGTTCTATATATTTACCTTATTATGAAATATTTGTTGAATCGTCATCATATTGTCTCGCCGTCGTCGACGGGAGTGAATTCCAAGTGATCTACTGTTCCAAAACTTATGACAAGATCAAGAAGAAAGCTGATAATGAGTATAACATACAAATTATATATCTGAGTTTCTATATAGTATCTATATTACTTTTGGGGTCAGTATTTCTGGTGTATTCTATATTACCAGAACTCCGAAATGTACACGGCTTTATGTTGCGCAATTACAGCGGTGCCCTGATTGTTGCATACAGCATTTACATTGTGATTATTATCGCAACGGCTGATATACCGTATTCTGTTTGCGTTACAATAGGTAGAATATATATTTAAATTACTTATTTTTTTCTTCTTATATAATTTCAATTAAAAGTGCAAATTACTTATTACATTTATATTTATATAAATAATATATTATTATTTATTAATACAGTTTGTATTTTTATTCATTTTTGCAGCTTTTTTAAACTACTTTTGCTATATGGCGAGTTTCTTTTGGTTAAGTATAATGAGCTTTGATATGTGGTGCACATTCAGGTAAGTTTGAAAATATTCTATATTATTTCTACTTATTTTTAACACTTGTCTTTTGTTTATCTTCATAAAATTCTTTCTTTTGATTTCACATATATCAGTTTAACGATAAAAAATAAAGAATATGCAAAATTCTGTATTAATCGAATTTTTTTATACATTGTGTTGATACGTGCAAAAATAATTATATATTTGAAAATAATATATAATAATAGAACAATTATATTTAGAACATTATAAGTTAGAGTATAAAGATAATAGATTCAAATTATAATTTGAAATAAATAGTTTTCTTGGATATTTTTATTATTTGATTACAGAATTTTAAACGGTTAATTTTTTAAAAGTAAAGATAGCGTATCAGATATTATAAGCATATTATATATTTCATTTAAATATGTATAAAATATTATAACAATATCTAATAATTCGATATATTACAATAATATTTTGATATTTAACTTTTTTCTCTTTTAATTTATAATATTTTATAAAATAAAGCAATACACGATAAGTTTTCACAAAATAAATGTAGATTTTTTTATTAAAAATTGGTCTTTTAAAAGTAAATAAAAATTTAAAGTATCATTGTCGTGTCTGCATAATAGTTATGTAAATAAACACTTTCAAAATATTTAAGGCAAAAAAAAGATAATAAAAGACAATTGTCCAAGAATAAACAAACTTTAAATAGATATAACTTTGTTTCGAATAATAAGAATTTAAACTTTAAAAAAGAGTTTTAAAACGTGAAATCTTTACTTTCAGTGGTTTATATCTTTTTTTATTTGCTTAAATTCTGATATTTTTTATATACAAAAAAGAAAAACATAACGAAATAGAATATTTCTTCTCACTTTGTAGACGTGTCGCATGCACAAAAAAATTTGAAAAATTTCTTGACATTTCCATGTTACAGTCTGAAGTATTACGTGCAAAATTGTTTTTTAAAACGTAAATCCTGATTTTTCTTATCAAAAGTTATCGCAAATTAAAGAGAAAATGTCATCTCACTATAATCGTTCATAACACCGTTAAAAATCATCGTACATCAATTTTCAGAATGAATTCTTCAAGTTGAAACTTTGCTCTATAGTATGATATAGTGACTTGATCAAAGACACATTATTTTGACGTTTTTACATTCTAATTTCTGTTGTCAATTGTTTGTTAAATATGTTGTGTAAATTGCAGAAAATTATGTTCGTTACAAAGAAACGTCAGACAACGAGAAAAAGAAAGTTGATATATTATACGATCTTTGCGTGGGGATGTTCCTTTATGCTTGCTATTTTTTGTGTCAGCATGGATTTTCTTTCCAAGTATGTAAATGTACCACCGATTTGCGACCGGAATTTCATTTAAATTGCTGGTTCATTCGTAAGTGATGATAACTTTATTAATACTATAGCATTCTAGTATTGTTAGAAAGAGTATAAAAACTCATGATGTTTTATACTTACAGAGACTGGTCCGTATTTGTTGTATTTTCATGGGCTCAAAAGTATGTGCATGATCATTTGCATTTGTTTCTCTATATCTACGGCATTAAAAATTGCGCGTTACAAAAAGGATACGAGTCTTGGTCTGGAAATTTTGGAGAGCAAGTGCTATAACGATAATAAAAAATGGTATGTACTGTGATATATTGCATTGAGACATGATAATCTATTTTCTTATAGAGATGTATGTTACTTTTATTAACATTTATGCAAACAGCGTCGCATGATTGATTAATTCGCACTTTTTTATAAAAGAAACAAATAGGCTGGTATTAATAATTAATAGTCCGAGCTTATATTTAATCTTAAGTCCGAGCTTGATTGGGCAAATGGATTTTTAAATCAACATGAGAGATTTAAAACGATATTAAATATTAATTCAGATTATAAATACCATAGATTATTATTCGTAGACAACGTTTTTTCTATTCGCCGATTTACTTTTTTAATTTTGTAATATTTTCAAGAATATATCACTTAACGCGTTTCTTCAAGAACCTATTCAATTCTAAACAAAATGACATTTAATAACGAAAATCAAATTAATAAATGTACCTGTATTTTTTACAAAAATAAAAATTTTTTACTTAGCTTATATATTAAATCAATTTCATGCATTATTTATTCACCAGAACTATGAATATTATATATTTGTTTGCAGGTTTAATCTATATCTGAAGATATTTATTGTGCTGTTTATTGTAATAGGCATAAGATGTCTTATGATAACAGCGCATTCATTATCTGGAAATGTATCAATTTACAACTTGCATGTTATTGAGTTGCTAAACATTGTACAGAATTTATGCACCTTTATCATATTTGTGTGGAGAAAAAACATTAAGCGCATGTTATTCAAGCGATTCGGCTGCGGTTTGTTGCCAAAAGCTCGATCCGAATCGAATGTAACATCGTCGAGCATTATTTCCACGACAAAGGAAATAGTCCTGCAGGAGAAGATGAGTTCCTCTGGACGAGCAAGGAGTCATACTGATAGCACCGAACTTTAATTTTTATTCTAAAATTCAATTATGTTTTTTTGTGTTGATTTTTATGTTTAAGATTAATAATTATAATTCACACATATTTTCAGATTTCGTAGCAAAAGCATTTAAATTTGCAAAAATTAAAAAATGTCATATTAAATTTATGCATACCTTTGCTTTTGTATTAATTGCAATAAAATGTGTCAAGTACAAAATATAATAAAATTAAATTGTCTCATTTTGTTTCTCAACAAAACCTCGAAAAATCTGTCTATTATTTTGTCTCGTTTCTTTTTTAAATTCAAATGAGATTATGTTACATTCCTTGACATAAATATTTTTAAAATTGTTAATTGTGAGCTGATATATATTATTTTTAATTTTCAATATATTGTAAAATTTTAGAAAGCTGCTATAAAATTTGCATGAAATTACTTTAAGTTGTTATTATACATACAGGGTGTTCCAGAATCGATAGTAGAAGAAAATAGGTATATTCTACAAGTCAAAATAAGGTAAAATTGTCCTTTAAACATATGTCCGGAAACGCACCCCCTCTGAGCTACACCTCCCAAAAAGTTTCCCCAAAAAACTCGAATTTTCCGTATATTGTCTAAACTTGGACTTAGAATTTTATGAAAATTGGTACATACACATTTCTTTATGCGTTTTATTCATTTTTATTGTCAAAAATTTTCTAACAAAATTTCAAAGGAGGTTTAAGGGGGGAGGCTACTTTTAAATTGACAAACTTATGTGTGAACTCTTTGATTTTTTTCATACGACAAACCATTTTTGAGATAATCGACTTAACAATAAAGACACCTGTATCTGTACCCTACGCCTCAATCTACGGGCAAGTTTTGCGTGCAAAGCACTATCCGCTCAATCCACAAATGGGAGATTAAAAAAAATAAAAACAAACATAAAACAAAAATAGCACAATAGTAGTTTTCTTTGTATATAGTATGTCAAAGTTCTGTATAGTGTATAGTCCCATATAGTATAGTAGACGGACAGTTTTTCGCAAAGCTATCGACGTCTCGTCGTCCTCGTCTCATCTTCTAGTTTCATCTTCTAGTCTCATCTCCCGTGCAGACACATGTATCTTGTGCACCCTTCTATCAGAAAAATGAAAGCTAAATACAGTGATATATTAATAATACTGACTTTATCTTTTAGGATAATTAAAATTCTCGATACTTGTAATCATCAATAATAATAATAATAGTGTTAAAATCAGATCGATTTTTCGAGATTTTGTTGAGAAACAAAATGAGACAATTTAATTTTATTATATTTTGTACTTGACACATTTTATTGCAATTAATACAAAAGCAAAGGTATGCATAAATTTAATATGACATTTTTTAATTTTTGCAAATTTAAAACTTTTATAAGAATTATGAACACTAATTTGATTATATTTAATTATTCTAAAGTATACTCTTACGTAAAATAATGAGTGAAAAAATGTTTTCATTTGTGTGTTCCGTTCTTCTCTTTGTCATTTCGTCATCGAAATTGCAGTATATTTCCACCAATAAAGATGATAATTTGACGATACGATACGAAATAAATGCGAATATAAATAATAAACGCGAGGATAATTATTTGATTTAACATAAACGTTACAAGCATTCTATGCAGAGTAAAGATGATGAGCAAAAATCGATGAAATCTAACACAAATTCGACATATGTCAATCATAAAAAAAATTTCATGCCGCAGGAAATTCATGAATATGTAATTGAAAAGAATGATTTTATGTCATTTGAAGTCTGCAAAAATTTTAGCAAAGATGCTAATGAAACTAAAGGTATAATTTAACCGAAGTGTAAAGTTCACTGATGTTTGCGAAACTGGCTTTACGAGTTTATTCTATTTCGCTGCTGGATTGGTCAATTTATGCCAGTAGAAAATTCCCCAAATGTTTTTCTGCTGTTTATGTATACGCAAATTTGTTTGTATAATTTTATATAATATATGCAATTTTATATAGTAGTAGATGGACTGTGTGTATGTGAGTTCCTCCGTAAAACTATTTTCGACTCGTCTTTTTCGGTAGTTTAATTTTTTCTCTCGTGCAAATACATTTTTTATACATATATTCTTCGCTTTTTAGAAAAAGAAGTCAAACTTGGATACAGTAATACATTATACGTTTTAACGAATGCAACAAGATAATTAAAAATCAATCGCGTAATCATCTACGTTAATAGTGCTAAAAAATAGTATGTCAAAGCTATAATATGTGTATAGTATATCCTATATGTGTATAGTCTCCTATAATAAAAAACGCAGTTTTGCGCAAAGCTCGACGACTCGTCGTCCTCGGTAGTCTCGTTTCCTCTCCTGCACTGGCAGATGTATCTTGTGTATTCCTCTATTAAAAAGAAGCCGGATACAGTGATATAATACTAACTTTATCTAGTGAGATAATTAAAATTCAATACGTACAATCATTAATATTAATAATATTGTGCTAAAATCTACACGACCTTCCGAGGTTTTGTTGAGAAATAGAATAAGATCATTTAATTTTATTATATTTTGCTCTTGACAATTTTATTGCAATTAATACAAAAGCAAAGGTATATGTAGAAATATGACATTTTTTAATCATTGAAAATGTAAATACTTGTATGAGTAATTGTGAACACTAAATTTGATTATCAAATTATTCGAAAGTATATTCTTACATGAAGTAAGTAATGAGTGAAAAAATGTTTGCATTTGTGTGTTCCGTGCTTCTTCTGGTCATTTCGTTATCGAAATCGCAGCAAAATTTCACCAACAAGAATGATAATTTGATGATACGATACGAGATAATTACGGATTCTACAACAACTTATAACGACGAAATAATAACCTTGCGACATGATTCACATAAATATTTGATGAACAATACACAAAATGACGAAATGCAGCATGAATTTCATATAAATAAGAAACCGCGAAAATAATGATTTGATTCAACATAAACGTTACAAGCATTCAGTGCACAATAAAGATGATGAACAAAAATCGATGAAATCTAACACGAATTCGACAAATGTCAATCATAAAAAGAATTTCACGGTTAAGAAAGTTTATGAAAATGTAATTGAAAAGAATGATTCCATGTCACTTGAAGTCTTCAAAAATCCAGCAAAAATGCTAATGAAATTATCATCGTCCCAAACGAAATGTGTCATAATGATACTTGCATTCGGCTCTGCTGTCCTCTTGGCGATCGTCTGGTTAATGAGAACTGCATTCCTGAAGAAATTGAATACATTTTTCCAAAAGTATACACGAACGATTCGACGCAGAGCAAAAGAAAGTGAACGAATTGTTTCAGCTGTCCATTTATGATTCGTTCCAAAAAAGTCAATTTCCCGTCTATTATCACTGCAATTATACGATTTTTATCAACGGTTCTATATATTTACCTGATTATAAAAAATTTGTTGAATCAACATTATATTGTTTCGCGTCGACGGGCGGGAATAAGTTCAGATTAAGCACCTTTTTAAATATTTCTAACTGGATCAAGGGGAGGACTGAAGATGACGCCATGATTTTTAAGATGCATATTATATATCTGATTTTACGTATAGTATCTATATTACTTTTGGGGTCAGTATTTCTGGTGTATTCCATACTGCCAGAATTCCGAAATGTACACGACTTTATGTTGCGCAATTACAGCGGTGCCCTGACTGTTGCATACATCATTAGCTTGTGAATGTTATGATCAGAATGGGTGATAAACCGTATTCTGTTGCGTTACAATAGGTAGAATATATATCTAAATTATTATTTTCTGCTCCTTATATATTTCAACTAAAAGTGCAAATACGTATTACATTTATATTTATATAAATAATATATTTATTTATTAATACAGTCTGTATTTTTATTCATTTTTGCAGCTTTCTTAAACAACTTTTGTTTTTTGGCGGCGGTTTTTTTTGGATAAGTATAATGAGCTTTAATATGTGGTGCACATTCAGGTAAGTTGGAAAATTCCATATTATACTACTTATTTTAAACTTGCCTTTTATTTACCTGTATAAAATTGCTTTATTTTGATTTTACATATATCGGTTAAAGATAAAGATAGATGATAATATGCAAAATTTTGTATTAATCAAATTTTTTTATATATTGTGTTGGTAGTATTGTCTTGGTACATTGCTCTATAGGGTGATAGAGTGACTCGATCAAAGACACATTATTTTAACGTTTTACATATTGATTTCTTTTATCTATTGTTTGTTAAATATGTTGTGTAAATTGCAGAGAATTCTGCTCGTTACAAAAAAACGTCAGACAACGAGAAAAAAGGAAGTTGATTTATTATACAATCTTTGCGTGGGGATGTGCTTTTATGTTTGCTGTTTCTGTGTCAGCATGGATATTCTTTCCGAGTATGTACCATCGATTTTGCGACCGGAATTTTATTTAGGAAATTGCGATTTCCATGGTGAGTGAAGATAACTGTATCAATGCTATAGCGTTTTAATGTATTGTGAGAACCCACACAACACAGAATATTATGAATGTTTTCAAAAAATATTTCTAAGTATTTCTATAAAATATTGCATAAAAACATTTTAAAATGGTTTTAGGAATATTTAAAAATAATTTAAACAATTTTTTGTGGTAACATTTTTCATAATATTTTCAAAAACGTTTAAAAATATTATTAAAAATGTTCTTTATCGCTCAGATAATATTTTCTTAAATATTTTATACATATTTTTGAAATATTAGTTTAAATGTATATTCAAAAATATTTTTTAAACATGAAAAAGCGGACGTAGAAACATTTTAAAAATATTTTCGAGAATTATTTTATCTTATAAGAAATATTTTAAAAGATTTTAAATATATTTTGTGCTGTATGGGAAACAGTATAAAAATTTATGACATTTTATACTTACAGGGACAGATACGTTTGTCTTGTATTTTTATGGGCCCAAAAGTGTCTGCATTATTAGTAGCGTTTGCTTATCCATCTCTACGGCACAGAAAATTAAACGTTACAAGAAGGATACAATTGTTCGTCTGACAGATTCGGAAAGCAAACGCTATAATGATAATAAGAAAAGGTCTGTATTATTTTTGCATCGATGTGTGATAGTCTTCTATGTAGTTTGTTAATGCGCCAATCTAATATGTTATTTTTGCTAATATTTTTGCCAACAATATTACATTATATATGGATTTAACTGCAATTCTGATGAAAGAAAGGGATAATTATTTTAAAGCAAACATCTTTTCGGTACTTAGTATTTTCTCGTTTTCTATTTTTTTTTTTAACGTACATAATCTATAGAAAAAGAAAAATGTATCGTAGTAACTTTAATTTTTTTTTGTTTTTGAGGAGGTCTGCAATTTTCGAAATGTGGAAAATAATGAGAGAAGAATAAAGTTAAAAAAATACATTTAATTTCATAAAGAAAATTTTATTTTTTAAAAATTTCTTCAAAACAACTATTTCTTTCTTCTCTTCTCTTTTAGAATTGTAATTCACATTCCATTTTGTAAAAAAATAATTTAATAAATAGTTATAAATTATAGAGGAACAAGGACCAATTATAAAAACCAGGCGTGGTAATTAATACGCTAATGTAGAGTGATAACTGATTAAAGAATTAATTTAATATTTTCACTCTCCATTAGCGTATTAATTACCACGCCTCTTAATTAAGAGCCAGGCGTGGTAATTAATACGTCAATGTAGAGTACAAATAAATAAACTTCTTTATGGCTCTTGTTTCTCTAATTTATATTTATTATTAGAGCCTTATATTTATAATATTAATAAATAGCATTTTTAGTAAATAGTAAATTTAATAAATAGTATTATTTTTAAATAATTTCTTTATGGCTCTTGTTCCTCTAGTTTATATTTATTATTAGAGCCTTATATTTATAATATTATAAATAGCATTTTTAATAAATCGTAAATTTAATAAATAATTAAACTCTTAATTAATAATTAGTATTATTTTTATTGAAAGATATCCAAATATAAATATATATTTGTTTGCAGGTTTAATTTGTATCTGAAGTTATTTATTATGCTGTTTGTCGCGATGGGTATAAATTGGTCCGTTAGAACATTGTCATTGTTGGTTGGAGATATATACATTTATGTCGAGTTTACTATTCACTTAGTAGACATCGTGCAGAATCTCTGCACCTTTATTGTATTCATATGTAAAAAGAAGATCAAGTTGATGTTACTGAAGCGATTTGGATGCGGTTTACACGTTCGACAGACGACTGTAACATCGAGCACCACCACGTCAGAAGTGACTATGCAAGACAAGAATTCTTACGCACAGGATAACTGTCACGTTAAAAGTTCACCCAGTGGGACTGAACTCTGAATTTCTATGCAAAATATAAACGAATATTCTCTTCACTAATTATTCTTTGTATTTTCCTTATAATTATATATTTGTAAAATCAACATTCTAATTTTGTCTTCATTCATTAGAACAAGTTTGATTTGATTATCCTTTTGAAGATTGTAAATCAAAGAAAGAAAAAGTTATGAATAATTATAAAAAAAATAAAAAAGAATAAGAAACAAAAAAAAACAAAAAATAAATAAAAATAATATTTTTTAAGAAAAAAAAACACTTTCACCTGCTGCCAACAAGGTCTTAACATTTAAATAATAGAATTAAAAAATAAAAAATAAAATACAAAAAAAAATTAAAAGAAACAAAAATAAAAAAAAATATCAATAATAATTATATAAGATTATCATAATTAGAAATATGCGTATAATGATTATACTATTTTTACTGGGAACATTGCGTACATATACTATACTGTCAAAAATATTTCTTTGACATCTGCTGCGAATATTATTAATAATATAGGCAATCAAAAGAAAGGAATCTCTAACGCATATTTTATGTGTTATAATATACTCAAATCAGTGTAATATGTGTATTGTGTTATAATATATCGGTATTAATATCACCCAATCATGTAGAATCAATATAAAATAAATATTTTACTTATTAAAATTATTAGTATGTATCTACTTGCATATAAGCGCGCGCGTTAATTATATTCTAATGATAAAACTTAACCCTTAGTCCCGACGGTTCTTTTCGGCACCTCTAATCCCGACTCATGGGTCGTTTGCGTCTTTGCGTTATTTGGATTAGTAAAACGCTTTAAAGAATCTGAAGAAATTCATGGAGCTTTTTGCAACCTTCAACTTGAAGTCTCAATCATAATATTTCGATAAAAATTATTTTTTTATATAGTTTGTAATAAGAAATGGAGGTACCTAAGAAAAAATCACTTGTTCACTTAAAATATCATAACTTTAAGTCAAATGAAGATATCGACAAAATAAAAAAAAAGAAATTAAAGGTGAGGAACACCATTCATAAAAACAATAGTACAAAAAAATTGTATTAAAAAAAAATGCTCATTTTTGAACCTCAAAATGGCGAAACATTAAGTACTAAAATTGCGTGTAAAAATGACTAAAATCGCGTGTAAAATGACTAAAAATCGCGTGTAAAAATGATTTTAATAAATAAATTTGTTGTAAAGGGGTAAAATATAAGGTAAATAATTTTTAAGGTAAGGTAAGGTTAATAATTTTTTAGGTAGGAGATATGGCGCGTTCCGTATCCGTTTGCAAAAATTACAGCACTTTGAAATTTCGTTTGGGTCGCAAACGACCCATGAGTCGGGACTAAGGGTTTAAATCTTAAATGGATAATTAATTAAATTTTTAAGAACAAAAGGATTAATTGTATTATATTTTAATGTTAAAATCAAGAGAATTGTTATATAGTAAAATTTTTGTGAATTTTAATGTATAATCACACAAACATAAATTCGTCTAAATATAGATTAAAACTTGGATTTGAAAAACCGGATATATAAACTAGGTAAACCGGTTTTAAAAGTATTTTGTTTTTAGTTTATATTTAGCAGAACAGAATGCAAGAATTTGGCGACTAACGATAAACCGATGTGTTAACATAATTTCATATTTTCAAAATTTTTGTAATCTAGAAAGAACGACGAAATTGATAAAATATTGTGGAACAAATAAAATTTTTCTTACGCATGTGTAATCGATTAATTACAATTTAAAAGACATTTTTACATACAAAAATATTTAAAATAATTAAAATTTAATATAAATTTTAAAAATAGTATAACTAAAAATTTGTTATTTGACTGTTGCTAAGATTTAATATATCTTTTCTTTTAGCGAGATTCTTAAAAATATATAATGACTTCATTTAAGCATCAAATGCCCAAAAATAACAGTTAAGGATCAGTTTCACAAATGTCAATTAACTTTAACCTCCGGTTAAACTGCATTTTTATCTTTTTATAGTTTTTAAAAGAAACAAAGATGTAATTTAATTAAAGTGTAAAGTTCACTGATGTTTGTGAAACTGGCTTTACGAGTTTATTCTATTTCGCTGCTGGATTGGTCAATTTACGCCAGTAGAAAATTCCCCAAATGTTTTTCTGTTGTCCTTGTATACATAAATTTGTCTGTATAATTTTATATAATATATGCAATTTTATATAGTAGTAGATGGACTGTGTGTATGTGAGTTCCTCCATAAAACTATCTTCGACTCGTCGTTCTCGGTAGTTTAATTTTTTCTCTCGTGCAAATACATTTCTTGTACATATATTCTTCGCTTTTCTTAGAAAAAGAAGTCAAACTTGGATACAGTGATACATTATATGTTTTAACGAATGCAACGAGATAATTAAAAATCAATCGCGTAATCATCTACGTTAATAGTGCTAGAAAAAATTAGATTAATCCTTTGAAATTTTATCGAGAAACATAAAAGAGAAAGATAATTTGATTTTATTATATGTGTATATATTGTATTTAACACCTTTTATACAATTAATGTAAAAGTATGCATAAAATTAATACAGAATTTTTTAATTATTGGAAATTCGAAATCTATGTGAGATCTGATGAATTTTGATAAGTTTGACTGATTTAATTATTTAATTATTTTAAAGTGGATCTTTATATATAAATAATGTGTCAACAAAATTTCGTGTTTTTGTGTTGCACACTTTTTCTGCTCATTATTTTGTCATCGAAATCTCAGCAAAATTTCACCAACAATGAAGAGAAAGGTGATAATTTGACAGTACAAAACGAGGAAGACACGGATTTTACAACAATCTATAGCAATGAAATAAAAACACTGGAATATGATATGTATGAAAAATTTGCCAACAATAATACGCAATATGATCACAATCATGAGGATGAGGACCAAATACTGATGAATTCTTACACCAATTCGACTAATGTCAGTTATAAAGAAAATTTCACGTCACAGAAAAATTATGAAAACTTGATTATACAGAACGATTCCGTGTTGTACGAGGTCTTTGAAAATTTCACAGAGAGCAGTAAAAGTAACGTCGTCCCATACGAAATGTGCCACAATATTACTTGCATTCTGCTCTGCTGCCCTCTTGGCCATCGCGTGGATGGCAGTATATGCATTCCCGAAAAACTAAGCACTTTTTCCCGTACGTTTACGCATATGTGAAAGATGCGAAGGGCAGCGAAGGTAAGACAGTGGATGAATTTTTTTCTCTGACCGTTCACAATTCGTGCGCAGGAAAGGCTCGTTACACGCTTCCCGCAGGTTATGAAAACGAGTTTATGATTTTTCCCAATGGTTCTGTCTATTTATCGCCTTATAAAGTATTTGCTAAATCGCCATTATATTGTCTCGGCGTCTTCTGGAATAAGGGAGATGTATATCAAGTGGCTTTTTGCGCAGATGTTTTTGAGGAGATTAAAGAAATGAGAAATGAGGATATAAATTGGAACGAACACATAGTATCCTATCTTGTCAGTGTCCGTATAATGGCAATGCTATTTTTGCTAACAACATTTTTGATATATGCCTTATTGCCAGAGTTTCGAAATGTACACGGAATTATATTACGCAATTATTGCGGTGCTTATTTCATCGCATACTTAATTACCAGTTTGAATTATTTAACAGATGATAAAGAGTACCACATCTGTGTTGCAATTGGTACAGTATATTTAAATTATATAATTATACAATCAATGTAGCGTATATATATATATATATATATATATATATATATATATATATATCATTTCGTTTAATTTAACCGAATATAATTACTCATGTAAAGCAAAGTTATATTATTCTTTGATAATAAAATCTCAAAAATTGCGTCGTATGCATGCAAAAATTATTATTGCAATCAATGCATAAAAATATATATTTATTAATTATGCAACGTATAAAAACTCAATATTTAAATCTTTAACAGAAAATACGAAAGAAAAAATAAAATTTTCTACAAGAATCTTTTGTGATCAAACATCTACGCTTTCATTAGACTCGTGCGAGACTCCATCCCCCTACATTCATCACGCCGCGCGGCTCGCGCGAAACTGATTCTCGTGCGAGGTATCGCAAGTGCGAAACCAAGGTCACGTGACTACTGGTCACGTGACCGCGGGGCACGTGACCACGGGACATGTGACCACTGGTCATGTGACCATCGCTCCCGCGCTTGCGAGACCTCGCACGAGAATCAGTCTCGCGGAAGCCGCGCATCTTAACAGATAGGGGGGTTATACTAATCTGATCATGTGATCAGTTTTGCGCGAACTTAGCGAACGCGTACAGACGCGTGAATCTAATGGAAGCGTAGATATTTTGATCAAAAGATTCGTGTAGAAAATTATATTTTTTTTCTGTTAAAAATTTATATATTGAATTTTCATAAATCGCGTAATTAATAAATATATTTCTATGCATGTATTGCAATAATAATTTTATACATGTGTTGCAATTTTTAAGGATTTGTTATCAAAGAATAATATAACTTCGCTTTGCGTACATAATTATATTCGATTAAACTAAACAAATGAGAAAAAAATATATAAAGAGATACATCTATATATTATAAAATAGTTTTCAAATAATACAATAGAAATTCGGCAAATTAAAACTATGTATATATATAATAGAAATTCAATGAATTAAAATTATATACATAATGGAAATTTGGAAATTAATTTGGAAATTATTATTTAATTTAATATCAATAGTATATTATTAAATATTTAAAAACTTCTAGTGGAAGAAGTTAGAATAAATCTATTTTTTTTGTTTAATAAAGAAAACAAAAAGATTAACTAGTGTTTTTGTATTTTAACGCATATGTTTAATGGTTAATAAGTATATTATTTATTATTATAGCTTTTATTCATTTTTTTCAGCCTTCTTTATGTACTTTTTTCTTTGTCGGCTAATATCTGGTTAATTACGATAAGTTTTGATATGTGGCGGACATTCAGGTAAATTGCAATGTATTCCATATTATACTTGTCTCTCATTTTTATTTGTTTTTACAGAATTGCTTTATATTTTATAGTATTATACAAAACGACGTAACATAATTATTTTCTGTAACGATATAAGGATATTTAATTTTATATGTATACTGCTTATACCAGCAACATAAAGACAACAATATTTTGTAAGATTTTAATTAAACAAATTTTTTTTTCAATTTGTGTTGCTGTATAAGAAAATTTATTTGGCTTGATATACCCAGGTAGAAATTTTGTCTAAAAATAATCAGGACTCTATACCATATATTCTTTTAAAAATATTTCTGGAATCCAGGTAAAAAATCTAATTAGAACTTGTGTAAAGTTTGGGACACCTGAATCGTACAGACCCTATCGCAGAATCCGAGTGAGCTCAAGATTACGTCCAAAATTTGTAGAAAAATTATAAGGAGTCTAACTAGGATCTATAATTATTTTTATATATTTGCTTTATTTGTATTATATAATTATTTCCATAAGCTAGATTATTCAATCCTGGCCCCATATATAGTTTCATATTTATTCTAATTTGGGAAAAATGTCAGTGGCAATCTAGAACCCATGCAGATTTTTCCGATTATTTTTATCCTCGGTAAAATAAATTTTTAGGGAGTATTCTGGACTTAGACAAATATTTTAAACTGAATTTTTTTACCTAGGCCCTGTTTTTAATCTCGGCAAATCGAGGCAGATTTCTACCTAGGTATTATTAGTTAGAAAAGTTAATTATATTTAAATTATAATTTGAAATAAATTAATATTTTTGAGAATTTATATTATTAAAAACATTTTGATAGTTAATTTAAGATCAAATTTTTTGTTCAAATCGAGTTAATTTTTAAATGTAATAATGACATTTGAGATAATACACATTATCACATTTTTAATTTAAATAATTATAAAATATAACGTAGCCTAATAATTTGCAATATAATGTTACAAAATGTTTCTCTTTTATGTATAGTTAACTAAATAATGACAAGTAAAAATTGCAGAGGATTGAGTTCGTTACAAAGAAGCATTAGACAACGAGAGAACAGAAAATTGATATATTATTCACTCTATGCATGGGGTTGCCCCTTTATATTAGCTACTTTTTGTGTCATCATGGAGTCTGTTTCCTCTCGTCTACCAGAGATTTGGCGACCGGAATTTCAACTAGGAGATTGCTGGTTCAGTAGTAAGTAAACGTTTTTGACAGATAACTCTATTAATGCTACAGCATTTTAATATATTGTAAAAAAGAGTAAAAAAATTATTACATATCATATTTACAGAGAAGGAAACATTGATGATATATTTTTACAATTGGAGAAGTATCTGTATTATTAGTAGCGTTTGCTTTTCCATCTCTGCGTCAATGAACATCGCACGTTACGAAAAGGAAACGAGAACTCGTTTGTCAGATTCAGACAGCAAGCAATACAATGACAATAAAAAATGGTTTGTATTCAGACATTTTTTCAGGATCAAAATTTTCTTATTATATATTTATAAAAGATAGTTCGATAAATAGTATATGTTATTATTATTGTAAATATATATTGCTTGCAGGTTACAGTTGTATCTAAGACTATTTATCGTGCAATTCGTCTTGCTCATCATTCAATGGGTCATAAGAGTGTTATATTTATTTAACTATATACCCGATGCCATCGGGTATTATATTGATGTGATAGATATTCCGCAGCATATTTGCACTTTTATTATATTTGTATGCAAAAAGAAAGTCATAATTATATTATTGAAACGATTCGGATGCAAGACAAATGGTGTATCATCATCGACTACTTGATTATCACGTCAGAGGTGTTTATAATGTAGGAAAAGTCGAGTTCTTGCGGACAAAGAAAACTGTCACGCGAAAGATTTGATGGGACTGAACTCTAATGTGTAAAAAAGTTTGATCGCAGTTCAAGAATCAATAAATAATCAGCAATTTAATATAATCTTATAATTTTTAATTGAAAATAACTTTACAGTGTTAGACATAGATGTTTACGTTTCTTCAAAAGATTTAGTTTAAACTTTCACAGAGAAAATTTATTGTATTGATACGTATTTTGGAGTCAAATCAATGGTTATAAATCTGTCTATTGTAAAAAAATTCTTCAAACAATCTTATAAAAGATTAGGTACAGTATATTGTACTGTATTATGATATAAAGGAAGATTTTTATAAGACAAATAAATATCTAAAATATATAAAAAAATATATATATAAATGTATCAAAGAAAAGTAAAATATTTTTATTCAATTTGATATAATTCACAAATTAATTACGAATAAATTCGTACACGATTATATTATATATCCGCATGTTATACATGTATCCACATATAATAGTAATATGTATCTACGAAAAATAAATTAAATTTGTATGAAAAATTAATTACAAGTTACAAAAATACGTTTTATTGTCTACAAAATGTTAATTTGCCAAATTTCTATTATGTATATAATTTTAATTATCGAATTTCTTTATGTACATAATTTTAATTCCCGAATTTTTATTTCTTTTTCATTTTTTTATTTCTATAATATAATTTAAATAAAATTATGTAAAATTATATAAAATTATATATGATATACAGCAGGCAATATCGTGCGCGCAGCACGCATTTGTGTTGTCTCGTATACGTAAATGTTAAATAAGTATAATTTTATAGTAGTAGATAGATAATGTGTGTGCGTGCGTGTGTGTGTTTCCTCACAAAACAATCGACGATTCGTCGTCCTTGATAGTTTCATTTCCTCTCTTGTGGAAACACGTTTTCTTGTACATTCTGCTCTCCTTTTAGAAAAAGAAGATAATATCGGTTATAGTGATGTAGTATATGTTTTACTGCACCTAGCGAGATAATTAAAAATCAATCGCATAACCGTCTACATTAATAGTAGAATAAAATCAGATCAATCTTTCGAGATTTTGTTAATAAACATAAAAACAAAAAGATAATTTGATTTCATTATTGTATTCAACATTTTTCTTTAATACAATTAATATAAAAGCTAAGTTATGCATAAATTTTATACAGAATTTATTAAATTCTTGGAAATTCGAAATCCGTATGTGAGAACGGATGAATACTGATAAGTTTGAATGATTTAATTATTTAATTAATTAAATTTAATTATTTAATTAAAAGTAGCTCCGATGGCGCTGATGCTATTTAATTTTTTACTCCCAACTTTTGTCGAGGAAAAATATCTTTCACAGAAATTTCATTGATTTCTTCAAAATCAATAATTGAAACTAATAATTACTAAAATGTAAATCATATTAGAGAAAATAATCAAAATCGAATTATTGTGATCATAAAAATCTAAGATTTCAATTATTTAAGTATTAATGTTACAATAATTTTATGATGATATAATTATATAATTAGGTTATAAATATTAAACTAATATTGTGAATTCTTATTACAATTTACAATATTAATAAATAAACATATTTTTATTTGATATATACATATATTAACAATTTATAATAATTTCATAAATTTTGTAACAGCTTTCTAAAGTTTTACATATATTGAAAATTGAAAATAATATCAGCCGACAATTAACAATATTATAAATATTTATGTCAATAAATGTAACAAAATCTCATTTAAATTTGAAAAAGAAACGAGATAATATAATATGCTTTTGCTACGAAATCCAAAAATATGGAGTAATTATAATTATTAATCTTAAACATAAAAGATCAGCATAAATAAACAGAACTTTAATTTTCAAATAAAATTAAAGATCGGTCATATCAGTGTAACTTCATGTTCGTCCGGAAGAAATCATTTTCACTTGTATGACTATTTCTTTTTACGTAATAATAATGCTCGACAATGTTGCATTAGATCCGTGTCAAGCTTTTGGCAACAAACCGCAGCCGAATAGCTTGAACAACATGCGCTTGATCTTTTCTTCCACACAAATATGATAAAGGTGCACAAATTCTGCATAACGTCCAGCAAATTAAAAACATACGAGTTGTAAATTGATACTTTTTTAAGTATTTCGTAGTTATCTTGCATTGTTATTATGAACCATTTTATGCCTAATAAAATAAATAGCACGACAAGTAGCTTCAGATTTAGATTAAACCAGGAAACAAATACATAATTTTCATAGTTCTTGTGAATATATATGACGAATAAAATTTAATTGATGTATAAACGTTAAAAAATTTTTGAAAGCGTTTAAAATTTTTATTTTTGTGAAATACAGATGCAGTCATTAATTAGATTTTGGTTATTAATTGACATTTTGTTTAGAATAGCATATAAATGTTTTCTTTTCTTATAGATTATATAATTATACATAACAGAAAGAAAAAAAGAATAAGCACAGTGAAAATGCCTGTTTTCTTCAACTGGAATGCGAATCAAGCAAGTATGAGATAGAGACGACAGAGAGATTGACATAAATATGTCTGCTTAAATCTCATTAAGATAATAAAAGATTTTCACTAACAATAAATGTTACAAAAATGTCAGAATACTCACCATTCTTTATTGTCATTATATCCCTTGCTTTCCAAATCTGATAGACGAAGGTTTGTATCCTTTTCGTTGCGTTTGATGTTCAGTGCCGCAGAGATGGATAAGCAAATGATAATAATTAGACAGACAGTTCTGATCCCGTGAAAATACAACAGATACGGCACTGTTTTTGTAAGAATGATATAATATAAAATTACATATTGTTTCAGACATATTTAAAATGCGTAGCATTAACTACCTAAAACGTACTTTTACCAGCACTGACGTAACAGTACCTCGTCAGTGGTATAGTAGACGGATAGTTTTTTGCAAAGCTATCGACGACTCGTCGTGCTCGGTAGTCTCAGCTTCTCTCCCGCGCAGAAACATGTATCTTGTGCATTCTTCTAACGAGAAAAAGCCGAATACAGTGATATAGTACTGACTTTATCTAATGAGATAATTAAAATTCAAGACGTGCAATCACCAATATTAATAGTAATGGTGCTAAAATCAAATCGACATTTCGAGATTTTGCTGAGAAACAAAATGAGATAATATAATTTTATTATACTTTGTACTTTACATATTTTATTGAAATTAATAGAAAAGGAAAGGTGTGCAAAAATTTAATGTGACATTTTTAATTATTGATAATTTAAAACTTATATGAGATGAACACTAAATTTGATTATCTAATTATTCGAATGTTTATTATTACAGGAAATAATGAGTGGAAAGATATTTGCATTTCTGTGTTCCGTGCTTCTCCTCGTCCTTTCGTCATCAAAATCGCAGCAAAATTCCACTAACGAAGATGATAATTTGACGATACGATACGAGATAAATACGGATTCTACAACAAATTATAACGACGAAATAATAACCCTGCGATATGATTTGCATAAAAAGATTATGAATAATACACAAAATGACAATAAAGATGATGAGCAAAAATCGATGAAATCTAACACGAATTCGACAAATGTCAATCATAAAGGAAATTTTACGCCGGAAATTTATGAAAATGTAATTGAAAAGAATGATTCCATGTCACTTGAAGTCCTCAAAAATTCCAGCAAAGATGCTAATGAAACTATCATCGTCCTAAACGAAATGTGTCATAATGATACTTGCATTCGGTTCTGCTGTTTTCTTGACGAGCGTATCGTTGATGACAACTGCAGTCCTGACGAATTTGAATACATTTTTCCAAAGGTATACACGAACGATTCGACGCAGAGCGAAAAGAGAGTAAACGAATTGTTTGACTTGGCCATTTATGATTCGTGCCAGGAAGATTACTATCTGCTTCCTGAAGGTTTTCAGTACGATTATAAGATTTTTACCAACGGTTCTATATATTTACCTTATTATGATATATTTGTTGAATCGTCATCATATTGTCTCGCCGTCGTCGACGGGAGTGAATTCCAAGTGATCTACTGTTCCGAAACTTATGACAAGACCGAGGAGATAACTGATAATGAGCCCTTGAATTTTGACGAAGATATTTTGCAAATAAGTGCCGATATAGTGACTATATTACTTTTGGGGTCAGTATTTTTGGTGTATTCCATATTGCCAGAACTCCAAAATAAACACGGCTTTATGTTGCGCAATTATAGCGGTGCCGTGTTTGTTGCATACGGAATTGATCTGGTGTATATTTTTATCAAATCGGATATACAGTATCCCGTCTGCGTTACAATAGGTAGAGTATATATCTAAATCATAAAACTATGTAATAAGTATAGGGTATATATATTTGTCAGATATCTAATGTAATATATATTAAATATTGCATAGGTATTAAATTTGCATATTAAATTTGCATATTAAATATTTTAATTAATAATTTTAATTATTACTTGAATATATTATTTGTTAAAATCTTAAGAATGCAACACAGTAAATGACGTTTTATTTAAAAATGAAATTTTATTTAAATGCATTTTAATATATAATTAATATAAGTTCGTCTTACACAAATAGTTATATTTCTTTGTATTCTTCGCGTAGCTGTTTTGACCTCTTTCCTGCTCTTTATTTATTTCTTAACTATAAGGGCAAATTACATATTACATTTATATTTATATTAATAATATTATATATATAATTATTTATTATTTATTATTTATTATTACAAGTCTTTAATTTTATTAATTTTACAGCCTTTTATACTTCTTGAGCATCATATCGAGTTACTTATGGTTAACTATAATGAGTTTTGATATGTGGTGCACATTCAGGTAAGTTGGAAAATATTCTATATTATTACTACTTATTTTTAATCTTTTATTTATGTTTAAAAAATTCTTTTTCTTGATTTTACATATATTGATTTAAAGATAAAGAGAGAGAATACATAATATGCAAAATTCTGGATTAATCGAATTTTCTTATATATTGTGTTGGTACGTTCAAAAACAATTATATATAATATTTGAAAATAATATTTAATAATAAAACAATTATACTTAGGACATTATAAGTCAGAGTATAAAGATAATAGGTTCAAATTATAATTTGGAATAAATAGTTCTCTTGGATATTTTTATTAATTGATTACAGACTTTTAAACGGTTAATTTTTTAAAAGTAAAAATGACCTATTAGATGTAATAAGCATATTATATATTTAATTTAAATATGTATAAAATATTATAACAAAATCCAATAATTCGGTATAAAGCAATAATATTTGGATTTGACGTTTTTCTCTTTTTATTTATAAAATAAAACAATACACGATAACTTTTTACAAAATAAAAATAGATTTTTTATGAAAAGTTTGTCTCTCAAAAGTAAATAAAAATTTAAAGTACCAGTGTCGTATCTGCATAATAATTATGTAAACATACCCTTTTTAAAATAATTATGGCATGAAAAAAACAATTGTCCAAAAATGGGCTTTAAATAATTTAACTTTGTTTCGAATAATGAAAATTTAAATTTTAAAAAAGTTTTAAAGCTTGAAATTTCTGCTTTCAATGGTTTACAATTTTTTTTATTTTCTTCAATTTTGTGATATTTTTATATATAAAAAACAAATAACATAAATAGAAAATTTTTTTACTTGTAAACGTGTCTCACAAAAAATTTGAAAAATTTCTTGACATTTCCATGTTATAGCCTGAAGTTTTCCCTGCAAAATTGTTTTTAAAATGTAAATGTCGATCTTTCCTTATCAAGTTATCGCAAATTGAAGAGAAAATGTCATTTTCAATTTAATCGTTCATAACACCGTTAAAAATCATCGTACAGCAATTTTAAGAATGGATTCTTCAAGCTGAATCTTTGCTCTATAGTATGATAAAGTGACATAAAGTGACTGAAAACACATTATTTAAACGTTTTTACATTCTGATTTCTTTTATCTATTGTTTGTTAAATATGTTGTATAAATTGCAGAGGATTTTGTTCGTTACAAAGAAACATCATACGAGAAAAAAGAAAGTTGATATATTATACGATCTTTGCGTGGGGATGTCCCTTTGTGCTTGCTATTTTATCTGTCAGCATGGAAATTCTTTCCGCGTACGTAAAAGTACCACCGATTTTGCGACCGGAATTTTATTTAGCAAATTGCTGGTTTAATGGTAAGTGAAGACTTTATTAATGCTATAGCATTTTAGTATGGTGAGAAAGAGCATAAAAACTCATGATGTTTTATACTTACAGAGACTGGTCCGTATGTGTTGTATTTTTATGGGCTCAGTAGTATGTGCGTCATCAGTAGCAATTGTTTATCTATTTATACGGCATTAAAAATTGCGCGTTTCAAAAAGGAATCGGGTCCTTGTCTGAAAGATTCGGAGAATAAATGCTTTAACGATAATAAAAAATGGTATGTACTCAGATATCGTTGTATTGAGATATGATAATCTATTTTATTAATAAAATTAATATAGTCCGATCGTGTATTTAATTTTAAGTTCGAGCTTCATTGGTTGAATGGAATTTTAAGTCAAGATCAGATTTAATTATCAGATTATGAATACTGGTCATAGATTGTCATTTGCAGATGATATTTTTCTATTTGCCGATTAATTTTTTTATTTTGTAATATTTTCGAGAATATATTATTTTACGTGTTCTTTCGAAAATCTATACAATTCTAAATAACATGACAATTAATAACAAAAATCAAATTAAAAAATGCACTTTTATTTCATAAAAACACAAATTTTAAACACTTTCAAAAATTTCTTAAGGTTTATACATCAATTATATTTTATTCATCACATACAGGGTGAGGTAATAACTATTAGGACCTTAAATATCTTCGAATCTATGAGGCCCAGAGGAAGATTTGTGTAACAAAAATTGCACGGTACGAAGGGGGCTATCATATGGCGATAATAATTTTGTTTAGGTGGAGGCGCTTCGGAGATACCAAAGTCATCTTCATTTTTTTAAATGGATTCAATATGTTTTTTTTCTATAATATGATAGAGGAACTCGAAACAAGTTCAGAAAAAGGTATCTGAGCAAGTTTTCAGGATAAACTAGACATGAAAATGGGTTGAAATAAGATTAAAATAAAATGAAAATAAAAGTCAGTCAATCATGCACGATGTATCCGTTCGAATATTATTTGTAAACGTGAATTTCATTTTATAATAAAAATGTATTTCTATCGATTTTTCTTTACTTTAAATTTTATTCAATGATCTTGTGTCGTGAGTTCTGAACTTGTTTCGAGTTCCTCTATCATATTATAGAAAAAAACATATTGAATCCATTTAAAAAAATGAAGATGACTTTGGTATCTCCGAAGCGCCTCCACCTAAACAAAATTATTATCGCCATATGATAGCTCTCTTCGTACCGTGCAATTTTTGTTACACAAATCTTCTTCTGGGCCTCATAGATTCGAAGATATTTAAGGTCCTAATAGTTATTGCCTCACCCTGTATATTCACAAAAACTATGAAAATTATATATTTGTTTGCAGGTTTAATTTATATCTGCAGCTATTTATCGTGCTATTTATCTTAATAGGCATACAATGGCTAATGATAACAGCGTCATTAGCTGACAATGTATATGAAATTTACTACTGGTATGGTATGAGTTTGATGGACATTATGCAGAGTCTGTGCGTCTTTATCATATTTGTGTGTAAAAAAAGGATCAAGCGTATGTTATTCAAGCGATTCGGCTGCGGTTTGTCGCCAAATGCTTGACACGGATCGAATGCAACATTTTCAAGCATTATTACTACGTCAAAAAAATAGTCATACACTGTAAAAAAATATGTAATATATTACACAAAAATATGTAAAATTACATAAATAATAAGTGTAAAATTACACGATAAATAATAGAAATGTTTACTTTTTCATTATTTATCATGTAATTTTACATTTATTATTTATGTAATTTTACATATTTTTGTGTAATATATTACATATTTTTTTACAGTGTACAGGAGAAGATGAGTTTTTTCGGACGAGTAAAAGTCACACTGATAGGATCGACTTTTAATTTTTATATGAAAATGGAAATTGTTTTTTTTATGTTGTTCTTTATAGTTAAGATTAATAATTATAATTCACACATATTTTCGAATTTTGTAGCAAAAGCATATTATTTTGTCTCATTTCTTTTTCATATTCAAATAAAATTGTGTTACATTTTTTACATAAATATATATAATATTGTCAATTGTAGACTAATATTATTTTATATTTTGAATATTAGTAGAAATTCAGAAAACTGCTACAAAATTTGCATGAAATTACTATAAGTTGTTATTATACATATGTCAAACAAATATGTTCATTTATTAATATTATGAATTGTAATAAAAATTTATAATATTAATATAATATTTATAACTTAATAATAATATTTTATCATTAGATTGTAACATTAATACTTAAATAATTGAAATGTTAAATTTTTTATGATCTCAATAATTCGGTGTAGCTTACTATTTTTTCTAATATAATTTACATTTTAGTAATTATTAGTTTGAATTATTGATTTTGAAAAATTCAATGAATTTTTGTGAAATTTTTTTTTCCTCGGTAAAAATTAAGAGTGAAAAATTAAATAGCATCAGCGCCATCGGATTTACCGCTATTTTTAATTCCTAATCAAATAAATGATCATGATATAACTCTCATTGTTATGCATGTCGAATATAAACTGGTTTTGGAATAGATTTTGTATTTACTTTATATGTGCAGGTATTATATTTAATATAATAATGTATAAGATTTGGCAAATAACGATATTCAACATAATTTTTTCTTTAATAATTTTTTTGTTGTTTAAAGACAACAAATGGAATTAATAAATTTGTGAAATAAATAAAATTTTTCTAACGCATGCGTTATCGATTAATTATTCAAAACAAATTTTTATATACAATAATTAAAAATAACTACATAATTTTTATTATTTGACTTTTGCTGCATCAATTTATTTCTTATTTGCGGTATTTTTAGAAATATGAAGACTCTTTATTTAAGCATTAAATATCTAAAAAACAGTCAAGAGTATTTATTCTTTTGCTGCTGAATTGGTGGAGCTATCGTCAGTAAAAGTTTTAATAATTTTTTTTATTTTCCTTGTATATAGTATGTGAAAGCTATATGTGTATAGTCCTATATAGTATAGTAGACGGACAGTTTCAATCATTGATTTGATTCAATTATATGTAAAGTAATATAAATTTTCTATATGAGTTTTTAACTAAATTTTTTAAAGAAACGTTAACATCGACATATAAAACTGTAAAATTTATTATTTCAATTTTAATAAAATTATATTAAATTGCTGATTGCTTGTTGGAGCCTAATCTGTAATAAAACTCTTTTTATATAATTATATATATAGTTTGAACCTGCAAACAAATATTAATATTAAGTCATCTTTCAATAAAAAATAATAAATTTTTATATATCAAATTATAGAATTGAAAAATAAAGGAATAAATTACAATCTTCAAAAAAAGAAAAAAAGAAACAGTAGTTTAAATAACTTCTTAAAAATGTAATTTTCTTTATAAAATAAATGCGTATTCGTTAACTTTATTCTCACTAATTTATTGCGACATTTCAAAAATTACAGACTATGTTGAAAACATACGATTCAAGTTAAAGCAATAAATGTTTTTTTTTCTTATAGATTATATAATTATACATAACAGAAAGAAAAAAAAACAATGAGCACAGTGAAAATGCTTTCTTCATCTGAAATGCGAATCAAGCGAGTATGAAATATTGTCGGCAGAGACAATAAAATAAATAAGTCTGCATAAATCTCATTAAGAAAATAAAAGATTTTACTAAATGTGTTACAAAAATGTCAGAATTCTCACCATTCCTTGTTGTTATTATATCGCTTGCTTTCTGAATCTGTAAGACGAAAATCTGTACCCTGTCCGTAGCGTTAGAAGTTCAGTGCAGCAGAGATGGATAAGCAAACGCTATTAATATTACAGACAGATTTGATCCCGTAAAAATACAATAGATACGGCACTGTTTTTCTAAGAAAATTACATAAAATTACATACTATTTCAAACAATTTTAAAATGCGTAGCATTAATAGTGTTACCTGAAACGTACCTTTACTATGATACCAGCACTGACGTAACAATACCTCGTCAGTGGTATAATAGACGGACAGCTTCTTGCAAAGCTATCGACGACTCGTCGTGCTCGGTAGTCTCAGCTTCTCTCCCGCGCAGAAACATGTATCTTGTGCATTCTTCTAACGAGAAAAAACCGGATACAGTGATATAATAAATACTGACTTTATCTAATGAGATAATTGAAATTCAAGACGTGCAATTATCAATATTAATAGTCATATAGTGCTAAAATCAAATCGACATTTCGAGATTTTGCTGAGAAACAAAATGAGATAATATAATTTTATTATACTTTGTACTTTACATATTTTATTGAAATTAATAGAAAAGCAAAGGTGTGCATAAATTTAATGTAACATGTTTTAATTATTGCGAATTTAAAACTTACATGAAAATTATATGAACACTAAATTTGATTATCTAATTATTCTAAACTATATTCCTATGTCAAATAATGAGTGGCAAAATGTTTGCAATTGTGTGTTCCGTGCTTCTTCTCGTCATTTCGTCATCGAAAATAAAAAAAATTCCACCAACAGAGATGATAATTTGACGATACGATACGAGATAAATACGGATTCTACAACAAATTATAACGACAAAATAATAACACTGCGTTATGATTTGCATAAAAATTTGATGAATAATACACAAAATGAAAAATGCAGCATGAATTTCATATGAATACTAAACGCGAGGATAATGATTTGATTCAACTTAAACTGAACAAGCATTCAATGCAGAATAACGGTGATGAGCAAAAATCGATGAAATCTAACACGAATTCGACATATGTCAATCATAAAAAGAATTTCACGCCACAGGAAGTTTATGAAACTGTAATTGAAAAGAATGATTCCATCTCACTTAAAGTCTTCAAAAATTTCAACAAAGATTCTAATAAAACTAACATCGTCCCAAACGAAATGTGTCATAATGATACTTGCATTCGGCTCTGCTGTTTTCTTGGCGATTGTCTGGTTGATGAGAACTGCATTCCTGAAGAAATTGAATACAAATAAGTAATAAATTAAAAGACCAACTTAACGAGCTAATTAATTAGATGTTAAAAAAATTTTTTTTTTTATTTTACGTCATGAAAATAATACAAATGATAATTAGTAAATGTTTTAACTGTACGACAGTCTTTATCAATACAAATATCGCTGTGCTAACATGTCAATAAATTAAATAATTTGAAAAGACAGAATTTATCATACATGTAAAATATATAGACTTGTAATATGAAAAAAAATTGAACACATTTTTCCAAAAGTATACACGAACGATTCGACGCAGAGCGAAAGAAAGTGAAACGAATCGTTTCAGCTGACCATGATTCGTGCTAAGATAATCACGTTCTGCTTTCCGAAGGTTGTCGTACGATTATAAGATATTTACCAACGGTTCTATATATTTACATTATTATCAGATTTGTAAAGCAAGCGATATAATGACAATAAGAAATAGTGAGTATTCTGACATTTTTGTAACACTTAGTGAAAATCTTTTATATCTTAATGATATTTATGCAGACATATTTATGTCCATGTCTTTGCCGACAATATCCTATACTCGCTTGATTCGCATTCCAGATGAAGAAAGCAAGCTTTTTACTGTGCTTATTGTTTTCTTTTTTTTGTTATGTAGAAGTATATAATCTATAAGAAAATAGCATGTATTGTGCATTAACTTGAATCGTGTCTTTTCAAATAGTTTGT